CCCAGCTACTCAGGAAGCTGAGGTGGGAGGATCACTTGAGCCCAGGAGGTCAAGGCAGCAGTGACCCCTGATCGTGCCAATGCACTCTAGCCTGGGTAACAGAGCGAGACCCTGTCTCAAAAAAAAAAAAGATCCACATTCTCCAATACAAGCTTTGTCAGCACCAACAGTGATATTTTCAGCTCCATTTTCCTTTCCTCTTTTGTCCTATATTTCAATCAGTTCAGAACTCAGGGGGAAAGAGGGGCTCTATTTAAGGGCCCTTTTAAATGTTGAACAGTGAGTAAGTTGGTAGAAGCCCAGATTCTTGTTAACTGCCAGATATAAAAGCCAGTATCAAGTGTACCAAACTTTATAGACACCAACGGCTTTGTGGCAGGGCCCAGCCAAGCTCCTTTACAGTATGTAATTAGCAGTAACACTCAAGCTCAAGAGAGCACCTGACAGCCAGCTGACCCGAGACTGCTCCGTGAAGGAGGCTGATCCGTGCCACGTATTTATCTTGAAATTGATGGTCTTCTGTTGGGTCCTAGAGTAGAATTTATCCCCTTAAAAAATTATTTAAAAAGCAAGCAATCTTCTCCTTCCAAATACTAAATCCTATCAGTCCAGTCACTGGACGTTGCATCTAAACTGTTTCTTAATTTCCTTCTTCACACATTGTAAATCTGAACTCGAGACAGATATCATAAATCAACTTTATATATGCATGCAGAGCCAACAACAATATTCTTTTATATTTTGACAATGACCCCCCCATTCGCTTTTTATCATTTTGTTAGAGAAATCGGCTAGAATTTTTGCAGCTTTTATTGTGTGTTCCTAAGTCAATGATTCAGTAGAAGTAGAATGGTATCACTAAGCTAAACATAACTCATCCTCCCTCCCCTGGTTTCCAGTGGTTACGCAGAGTCTGTATTTTGCTGCTCATGTAACAGTCAGGGGTGGTGGGACTGTCTCCTGACAGATGGCATTGATAACTTCTTGTGGGATAACCAGTTATGTCGTACCCCTGCTCCCTTTTAAACCGTGCTTAATAACATGTCATCAGTTTTTTCTTTCTTTTAAGACAGGTTCTCACTCTGTCACCCAGGCTGGAGTGCAGTGGTACGATCTCCTCTTGCTGCAGCCTCCACTCCTGGGCTCAAGTGATCCTCCCATCTCAGCCTCCTGAGTAGCTGGGGTTACAGCCGTACACCACCAAGCCCAGCTCATTTTTTTCTTTTTTTGAGATGGAGTCTTGCTCTGTCACCCAGGCTGGAGTGCAGTGGAACGATCTCAGCTCACTGTAAGCTCTGCCTCCCAGGTTCACACCATTCTCCTGCCTCAGCCTCCCAAGTAACTGGGACTACAGGCGCCCGCCACTACGCCTGGCTAATTTTTTTGTATTTTTAGTAGAGACAGGGTTTCACTGTGTTAGCCAGGATGGTCTCAATCTCCTGACCTTGTGATCCGCCTGCCTCAGCTTCCCAAAGTGCTGGGATCATAGGCATGAGCCACTACGTCTAGTCTAATTTTTGTATTCTTTGTAGAGATGGGTTTTCACCATGTTGCCCAGACTGGCCTCGAACTCCTAGGCTCAAGCAATCTGCCCGCCTTGGACTCCCAGTGTTGGGATTACAGGTGTCCTACCAACATCAGTTTTAAATAAACTGGATATGTCACTCCTTCCATAGAAGATGGGAATATAAGGATGGCTTGTATATGTAAGATACAATGGCTGGGCGTGGTGGCTCATGCCTGTAATCCCAGCGCTTTGGGAGGCTGAGATGGGCAGACCACGAGGTCAGGAGATCAAGACCATCCCGTGAAACCCCGTCTCTACTAAAAATACAAAAAAATTAGCTGGGCGTGGTGGCGGACACCTGTAGTCCCAGCTACTTGGGAGGTTGAGACAGAAGAATGGTGTGAACCTGGAAGGCGGAATTTGCAGTGAGCTGAGATCGTGCCACTGTACTCCAGCCTGGGCAACATTGCGAGACTCCGTCTCAAAAAAAAAAAAAAGCCGGGCGTGGTGGCTCACGCCTGTAATCCCAGCACTTTGGGAGGCCAAGGTGGGTGGATCACAAGGTCAGAAGATGGAGACCACGGTGAAACGCTGTCTCTACTAAAAATACAAAAAATTAGCCGGGTGCAGTGGCGGGCGCCTATAGTCCCAGCTACTAGGGAGGCTGAGGCAGGAGAAGGGCGTAAACCCGGGAGGTGGAGCTTGCGAGACTCCGTCTCAAAAAAAAAAAAGATATAATCGGATTTTATAAACTGAACCTAGAAAACACTAAATCTTTGATGAATTAACACATAAATGGGAAGGAGGAAGAAAGGAGTGCTCCTAGTAGACACAGATCCTGCCGTGCTAATTGCTATGAGAAAGCCACAATTTTCGGTGAGCACACTCTGTGTCCTAACTGTCTGAATGTTAACTGGACAGTGGACAGAGGGTCAGCCATATTCTCGGGGATGTGGCTTAAAGTCCTTCTTCTGGAGGGCTCATGAGGAAGTTACTTTTCTAAGACTTGCATATCCAATGGTGACTTTACTGACCTTTTAAAAATGGCTGATTCTCTAAGATTTCGGCATGCTAAAATCACTGCGGCCACGTCCCAAAGACTCCGCTTCTACCATCTGTCTGTCCACGTGTGTGGAACAGCTGACAGAGCCAGCCATTCTGAGATATTTCTGTTAGGCTGAGAGGAAGTGGTCAAGGCCGCCTGCTCTTCAGCACATGACTATGTGCTTTCTATGAAGATCCATAGAAACTGCTAACTCAAGAGACTATCCCCGGGTCTTAGCACCAGGAATAACTGTGTGAAGCAGTTGTCTGATCATCCAGTTTAAAAAAAAAAAAAAAAAAAAGCATTTAAACTTGTTTTTAAATAATATAAGTAATACACCTACTTGGAAGAAGTCTGAAGGGTAGAAAACTTTAGCAGCACTGAAATGGTCTATTTCGGGCCACATGTGGCGGACTTGTGAGTGTTTGTTTTATTGTCATGGTTCCTAGCCTGCATATGCAGCACATATGTTGTTTTGGATACAGGAAATGTTACATAATAAAAGTTATGTAACTGCCCTCTCCTGCTTTATAAGCATGGGGAATCATATAACTGCTCATGTTTCCCTCTTTGCACAGACTGCTAGAAAGCTCAGAGCCTAATCTGCAGCCCACCTTTCCGAGGAACAAGCTGCAGCACGCATTTTTTGTACCAGTCTTAGCCCTTGCTTACTTTCATTTTTCCCACCCTTATTTTCCCTTAACCACAATTTCTTTACTTATTTTTATTTTCTACCTTCTCGTTTCTCATATTTATGTTTTCTCATATTATAATAAACTTCTTCAAATCTACTTGAGAATTAGGTAGGGTATAAATTTTCTTTAAAATACTAAAAAAAAGGCTTCTGTTTATTAAGACTCTAGTATTATATTAACGTGCAAACCCTTATTTAAAAGCTGTGGCTCTGACCCACAGGCGTGCCTCAGGATCACACAGGAGCCTCATTCCAAATCTATACAGCCAGACTCCGTCTCAAAAGAAAAAAAAAAAAAAAAAAAAATCTATACAGCTGACTTCATAGGGCTTCACTCACCCAGCCTGCGAATGCGGCAGCAGGTGGGTGTGAGCTCCTGGCCCGTGGGTTCCTGTACTTTGAAGAGTTCGAGAGACACTGGTGTCTCCCCTGGTTAAGAACGCCTGCCTCAAAACCATGGGCCTCCAGGTGTGCTAGCCTAAGGAGGACACACGATCACTGAGGTCACATTTGGCCTAGTTGATTCAGGGAACCTGACTCTAATTACAAGGAAACATCAGACACAAAAGGAAAAATGTTCTATTTTTTTTTTTTTTTCTTTTGAGATGAAGCCTCATTCTTGTCCCCCATGCTAGAGTGCAATGGCACAATCTCGGTTCACTGCAACCTCTGCCTCCCAGGTTCAAGCAATTCTCCTGCCTCAGCCTCCCGAGTAGCTGGGACTACAGGCACCTGCCACCACGCTCAGCTAATTTTTGTATTTTTAGTAGAGATGGGGCTTCACCATGTTGGCCAGGCTGGTCTTGAACTACTGACCTCAAGTAATCCACACCCCCTTGGCCTCCCAAAGTGCTGGAATTACAGGTGTGAGCCACCACACCCAGTAAATGTTCTATTTTTTTTAAAGGGGGAAAATTATACTCTTCTAATATGTTAATGTCATGTAACTCAAAGAAAGGCTGAGGAAATGTTCGAGATTAGAAGAGGCTAGGAGCTGTGCCAACTCAATGTGACAACTGACCCTAGATGACCAGAGGATGGGAAATGCAATGAAGGACATTGCTGATTCAACTACCAAAATTGGAAAATGGACAACAGATAAGAAGGCTGTATCAATGTTAAATTTACTGAAGTTGGTAACTGCATAGTTATATGAGAGAATATTCCTAACCTTAAGAAATATACACTGAAGTATTTAGGAGTAAAGAGTCATAATATATACAATTTATCTTCAAATAGTTCAGAAAACAGATTGTGTGCCTATGTGTGCATATTCACATATGTGTAGAGACACAACAAAGGAAGGGGCCAATGCTAACAGTTGGTGAATCTGGGTAAAGGGTATACCAGTGTCCTTTGTGCTACTTTTGTAATTTTGCAATTATTCCAAGTAAAAAGTTAGGGGGAAAAAAGTGCCCTTACTTTAGACCACACAACTTCCACCATGGCAGTGCTTTTAAAAAAGAATAAAACTTCCATCCATTCCTACTGATCCCCAACCCTGGGAGCCCCCACTGAGTAGCTGCAACTGGTAGCAGAACATGCCTCTCTCCTCACTCTCCCTAGGAGGCCAGCTTTCAGCTGTACCTTCTTCTAAAACAGATTTATTTTCCTTCTAGAAGTTTCTAGACTTCCAAAGGCAGCTTAAATGCAGTCTTTGGCATGTTATTTTCTCATGCTATTTTTAAAGTTACATTCTTTTTAAATTGGGGGGGATAGACCACAGGCACCCTGCCCTGAGCGCAGAGCCTCACCGTCCCAGGCCTCGTGAAGTCCACACTGTGCGCCAGGCTCTGCCGCATCTGGTTACTGAACAGGCGGACACAGACGCTCTGGAGGTACTCGGGGGTGATCTGCAAGGAGGACACAAAGACATCTGGTGACGGCATGAAATTCACCGAGGGACACCTGAGGCACGCTGGCAGTTATTAGAGTGGTCTCTCAACAGCTTTCTGTAAGGCACAATGATGAGATATATAAGCTAGAAAAATAATCATTTGCTTTAACATCAGAGCTCTTGGGAGGAGAGAAAGCACTGGCTCTGACAGAACAAGGTGCTAACACACTGCAGGTGTGCTCATGAGACATCAGACGCAAATTATCTAACTCCACTTCAGCTATCTCCACTGTCATATAGAATAAACAGATCCTAAACCATTTTGGTAAATTACAAATAAATAACAAAGTCACTGGACAACCATAATGTGGGGGAAAGAGAGCCAAGCTTCATATCTGAAGATCAGGGCTCAAGTCCTGGACTTGAGAAGACCAACAGCTCTGCCTCTCGCTTTCCACACCTTTATTATAACAGTCGCAGTGAGCAGCTAAATGAGGTCACAGATATCCCTGGCACATGACAGGTGGCTCAGTCAGTGCTTGCTGAATGAGTGATGGAAACACTTTTAATCAACTATCCAGTGCGTGACCATGCGCGGCCAAGCTGCTGTTGCCATCAATGCTGCTGGATCCTGCATTCTCCTTTAGCATCTCTTGTGCCTCTCTCACCAGCTACGAGAATTCAGGATTGACATACATCGAAAGTGGTCACCTTGGAATTTTTTTCATCTATTTTCTTTTTAGAAAAATAATGTATGCTCATTTCAACGTACAAGTACCACAACCTCTCCTGAATCCCACCCTTCCCCCACAAACCAATCCCTGCAGATAACGACTTCCACACTTTTTTTTAGGCATGATAATTGGAAAAGAGCCTCCTCTTCTGCATCTTCATGATTCCACCAGGGGAAACTTCCACATGGCAATAGAAGCGGCTGCTTTCCCACCCCTTGCTCATATCCTTGTATGGGAGGAAGGCCATGAAGGCCCCAGCCTGCATGGGAAGCAGGGCTACTCCACCCCTGCGGAGCTGGAAAGGGCTGGGACCTTTTCTCTCCTCCTGGGCCTCCTGCCTATCCGCTAGAAACTTCTGGTCTGCTTCAGCCACATAAAAGGCTCTGTCTAGCCAGGCGTGGTGGCTCATGCCTGTAATCCCAGCACTTTGGGAGGCCGAGACGGGCAGATCACGAGGTCAGGAGATTGAGACCATAGTGAAACCCCGTCTCTACTGAAAATACAAAAAATTAGCCAGGCGCAGTTGCGGGTGCCTGTAGTCCCAGTTGCTCGGGAGGCTGAGACAGGAGAATGGCGTGAACCCGGGAGGCAGAGCTTGCACTGAGCTGAGATCGCGCCACTGCACTCCAGACTGGGCGACAGAGCTATACTCTGTCTCAAAAAAAAGAAAAAAAAAAAAAGGCTCTGTCCATCCTTCGGCAGAGGTCTGTCATCCCTTGTTGCACAGCTACATTTGAAGTGACTCAGAGAAAAAGGGACCGCATCCCAGGCTAGATCTCCTACATTATCCTGAGTCCATTCCTTCTGAATTCCTATAGTAAATTTCTGTAGTATTAAAATTTAAACATTCATTTTTCAGGCCTGGCGTAGTGGCTCATGCCTGTAATTCCAGCACTTTGTGAGGCTCAGGCAGGCGGATCATTTGAGCTCAGGAGCTTGAGACCTGCCTGGGTAACATAGTGAAATACCACCTCTAAAAAAATAAAATAAAAATTAGCCAGGCATGGTGGCATACACCTGTAGTCCCAGCTACTCAGAAGGCTGAGGTGAGAGGATGACTTGAGCCTGGGAGTTCAAGACTGCAGTGAGCTGTGATTGCACCACTGCACTCCAGCCTGGACAACAGAGTGAGACCCTATCTCAAACAAATGAACAAAAAACATACCTTTTTCATCTTGTATTTTTAACCTTTCTTTCTATACTTATTCCTTTCCTACAACTAGAAACACGTTCACATATATTTCATATTAAAAACATACCTTCCTCATCTTCTACCCTAGATCTTCTTCTTCTTCTTTCTTCACCCTAGATCCTTATCTATCAATCACCCTCTCAACAGCTTCTCTTTACAGCCAAGGTCCTTGAAAGAACTGCTTATGTTTGCTGTCTCAACCCACCTTCACCTTTCAATACAATGTGACCAGCTATCCACCTGCGTTCCTCCATGGAAGCTCACGTGGCAAGGCTCACAACCAGTGAACTTCTAAGTGTCAAAAACACTGGATACTTTTCAGTTCTCTTCTTCTGGAGTTTTCTGTGGCTTTTGAGAATTTGGATCAAACCTTCAGTCCTGAAACTGTTTCCTCCTTTAACTTCTGAAACTGCTAGCAGAACCATTTCTCTAACAAGCCTATCTGCTCATGTCACTTTCTTGCTTGAAACAGAAGAATGAGGAAAGATGGATGGCTGACCAAAAAAATAAATAAATAAATATACATATGGCCAAGAATGATACATGAAAATATACTCAGCCTCATACATAATTAAAGAAATGTAAATTAAAATATGCAGAATGCCAAGTTTTACTTACCAAACTGACAAAGATTTCAAAGTTTAATCCTATTTGGTGTTGCCGTGTGTTGACATTTTAGGACAAATAATTTGACAACCTCTATCAAAATGCTCATGCCCATACCTTTGCCCTAGCGATTCCACTTTTAGAATTTTATCAAGATGCTGAGGTGGGTGGATCACAAGGTCAGGAGATCGAGATCATCCTGGCTAACACTGTGAAACCCCGTCTCTACTAAAAAATACAAAAAAATTAGCCGGGCATGGTGGCGGGTGCCTGTAGTCCCAGCTACTCGGGAGGCTGAGGCAGGAGAATGGCGTGAACCCAGGAGGCGGAGCTTGCAGTGAGCGGAGATCGTGCCACTGCACTCCAGACTGGGTGACAGAGTGAGACTCCGTCTCAAAAAAAAAAAAAAATTTTATCAAGATGTACAGTATACACAAGGATGTCCACTGCAACATTTTTTGTTACAGCAAACAAAAAACCAAAAAATCCAAATGTTCATCACCAGAGATCTGATAATGATTCACCCTTATAATGGAATTGTATAAAAGAATTAAAAAGAATGAGGTGGATCTGGTCATGTGGAAAGATCTCCAAGATGTATCGAAAGAGAAATAGCAAGTTTCAGAAGAGTAATGAATCATATGATCCCAACTAAGTGTACAAATGCTGTATATGTGTGTGTACACACACACACACATATACAGAGAAATGTTCTAAAATAATATACAAGACAATGTCAGTCTTGAACATCAATAAGGAAATGAATCTACAGCATTGTGGTGAAGGAGCTTTTGTTCCTTACTATACGCTTCTCTGAATTGTTTCAATCTTTTACTATGAGAACGCGGTTATTTTACATTAAAAAGGTTAGTAAAGAGTCCAGTTTTCCTCCTCTGACCCATCTTTTTTTAAATTAAATTAAATTAATTTATTTGAGACATAGTTTCACTCTGTCGCCCAGGCTGTAGTGCAATCTTGGCTCACTGCAACCTCTGCCAGCCGGGTTCAAGAGATCCTCCTGCCTCAGCCTCCTGAGTAGCTGGGATTACAGATGTGCTCCACTACACCTAGCAAATTTTTGTATTTTTCGTAGAGATGGTGTTTCGCCATGTTGGCCAGGGCTCTGGTCTTGAACTCCTGATCTCAGATGATCTGCCCGCCTTGGCCTCCCAAAGTGCTGAGATTACAGGTGTGAGACACCATGCCTGGCTAATTTTATTTTTAATTGTATATTTTTAGTGACAGAGGTCTCACCATGTTGACCAGAGTGGTCTCAAACTTCTGGCCTCAAGTGATCCTCCCACTTCAGCCTTCCAAAGTGGTGGGATTACAAGTGTGAGCCACTGTACCTGGCCTGAATTATTTTTTATAACTGCAGTGTGAATCTACAGTTACCTCAATTTTTAAAAAATCTGTATGTCCACAAATAGATGTTATCGTACTTTATAAAAAGTCAGGAATGAGATAAAGATGCCCATGATGACATTATTCAACAATATCCCACAGGCCATAGCCAATGTACTAAGAAAAGTCAAGATAAATTTTAAAAGCAAAACACAAATATTATTTGATAACATGACTGTCAATCTAGAATACAGAAGAATCAATTAAAAAAACTCAAGATTAATGGGATTTAGAAAGGTAGCTGGATATGAAACCAATATTAGAAAATCAGTGGCTTTCCTATGTGACAGCAGGACATGTCCCCCTCATTTTTTTGCCAGCACATATTTTTCTGTCGTCAGACTTATCCTTTGCTAATATTAATAAGGTAGACGCTGGGTGCGATGGCTCACACCTGTAATCCCAGCACTTTGGGAGGCCAAGGTGGGAGGATCACTTGAGCCCACGTGTTCAAAATCAGCCTGGGAAACAAAGCCAGACCATGTCTCAATTTTTTGAAAAATATTTTCTCAAAAAAGGGCCAGACACAGTGGCTCACACCTGTAATACCAGCACTTTGGGAGGCCAACGCTGGCAGATTACCTGAGGTCAGGAGTTCGAGACCAGCCTGACCAACATGGAGAAACCCCGTCTCTACTAAAAATATAAAATTAGCTAGGTGTGGTGGCGCATGCCTGTAATCCCAGTTACTCGGGAGGCTGAGGCAGGAGAATCACTTGAATCTGGGAGGTGGAGGTTGCAGTGAGCTGAGATCACGCCACTGTACTCCAACCTGGGCAACAAGAGCAAAACTCTGTCTCAAAAAAAAAAAAAAGAAAAGAAAGAATCAGGTAGAGAAATAAAGATATAGCAGACAGTATGTTAAGAAAAATGGATAAAACACTGCAAGAAGCTTGATAAAAACAGTAAAAAATATCGGCCTTATCTCCTTCATGCATGTTGGCTTTTGGAAACAGAGTGGCAGGTGCCAATGGCTTGGAATGGAGAGAGGCAGACTCCATCTGCCATATCAACATAGTCCATGCCCATAAGCCTTCTTCATTGCCAAACAGACATACACACAACTGGGGCTCTTCCTTACCATCTTGCCGCTGACTGTGGCCTCTAGAGAATCCACGAGTTCTGCTGTGACTCCAATAAGATTGTGGTAGTCGGCCTGGATCTTATTGTACCGTTTGAGGTATGTCATTGACCTACGTTCAGCTTCAACCAGCTGCTGGTGGAGCTGCTGCAACATTTCTAGGAAGACAGTTTATATCAAAATAAAACAACATCAATACAAATCCACAATATGAAAAATAATTGTATTCTTCTCAAAGAACTACCATACTTACAGTCAGAATGTTTTGTTGTAACAATAAACTTGACACCATTTGTGTTTCACACTTACTTCTATTTTATGCCACATTTATTTACATAGTGCTGTAACCAACTGACTTAAAATTTCCTTTTCAGGAAGTTCAACTCAATCCTCACTGGGTTTCCTAAGAAAATCTATTCCCTTGACTGAACCTCATGCAATTTCTTTTAGTTCTTCTATGTCTAAGAAAATAAACATTTCTAAGGCTGGTCGTGGCTCACGCCTGTAATCCCAACACTTTGGGAGGCCGAGGTGGGTAGATCACTTGAGGCCAGGAGTTGGAAACCAGCCTGGGCAACATGGTGAATCCCCATCTCTACTAAAAAAATACAAAAATTTGCTAGGCATGGTGGTGCTCGCCTATAATCCCAACTACTTAGGAGGCTGAGGCATGAGAATCACTTGAACCTGGGAGACAGCAGTTACAGTGAGCCAAGATCCTGCCACTGCCCTCCAGCCTGGGCAACTGGGCAACAGAGCGAGACTTTGTCTCAAAAAAAAAAAAAGAAATGTTTTATTCTATACTGAGCTCACAAAATGCCTAAATCAAACCTGTGTCTTTTTCTCTGTTTTTGTATTATGAAGTCGTCTGGGGGACAATTCATATCTGCAGGACACTTCTTTATTTTAAATAAAATTTTGGACTACTTGACCCATGCTAGGAAAAATAAGAATGCAGAAGAGATTCCATCATTCTGCCAGTTTGGTAAAGCATAAAACCACTCCCACCAGGCCTTAGAGCAGGTAGCTTGGAAGGCTCTAGGATTGTCAGCTCGGAAGCCCCCCGTGGGCAGCCCTAAAGACACTGAAGCCAAGCCGCCCTGGTCTCGGCAGAAACAGGCAAATCCCCATCGGTGTTAGCACTTCTTTGCCCACACCACCTGCCCTCTTTCTTGAAGGACATTTTAGACGAAAGGAGGTAGCACTGCCCCCAAACCACAAGCCTGGCCAACATGGGGAAACCCGTCTCTACCAAACATACAAAAATTAGCAGGCATGGTGGTGCACTCTCTTAATCCCAGCTACTCGGGAGGCTGAGGCAGGACAATTGCTTGAACCCAGGAGGAGGAGGTTGCAGTGAGCCAAGATCATGCCACTGCACTCCAGGCTGGGCAACCAAGCCAGACTTCGTCTCAAAAAAAAAAAAAAAAAATTGTTTCAGATGGGGCATGGCGGCTTCATACCTATAATCCCAGCACTTTGGGAAGCCGAGGCGGGTGAATTGCTTGAAGCCAGGAGTTCGAGACCAGCCTGGCCAACATGGTGAAACCCCGTTTCTACTAAAAGTACAAAAATTAGCTGGGCATGGTGGCATGCCCCTGTAATCCCAGCTACTCGGGTGGCTGAGGCACTAGAAGGGCATGAACCCAGGAGGCAGAGGTTGCAGTGAGCCAAGATCACGCCACTGCACTCCAGCCTGGGCAACAGCGCTGTCTCAAAGAAGTAAATAAATACAAATAAAGTTTTTCATATATATGTATAGTTCAAAATTAGATAAGCTAAAACTTCCAAAGATGAAAATTCTACAGAATAGTATTCATAATCCCATATTGCAGTAGTAAGTATTGGAGAACATCTATGCAAACTTTCTCAACACAGACCAAGTGGTACATGATGGATCGAGTACCAAAACCCATTAGCTGGGCTCAATGATCTCCCAAATCACCAATGTGAATGTCCCCAAAGCAGTCCCTCTGGACTGCACAAAGGAACCCTTTCCCCCAGAAGTTCAATTCTGCAATTTACTAAACATAGAGAGATTATCTGTGGAACTTTTGCCTTGGGAACCGAGAATCAGAATTTACGACAATTTCAAAGTGTGGCACATCTCAGGGATAAAAGGCCAAACTGCCTGCAGCCTACTGGAAACAGAGAAGCAGGTAATAAGGCTGAAATGTTTGTGACCATTTTCAAATACAGTCAGCACTCCATATCCATGGGTACTGCATCTGTGGATTCAACCACCTCAGGTCAAAAATATTCGGGGAAAAAAGCACCTGTACTGAACACATACAGACTTTTTTTTCATATCATTTTCATGTCATAAACAAAATGGTATAACAACAATATACACAGCATTTACACTGCATTAGGTATAGGTAATCTAGAGATGATTTAAGGTATATGGGAGGAAGTATGTAGGTTGTATGCAAATACCATGCCATTTTATATAAAGGACTTGAGCATCTGTGGACTTTCGTTATCTGTGGGGGTCCTGGAAGCAATCCCTACAGAAACTGAGGGACAACTGTATACTCTTTAGGAGGACAGCCTGCTACCCAGAGACATCACCTCGCAGATACTTTAACTAGCCACAAACAAGACCTGTCCATGACTATAAGCTACTTGGGTGACAGCTCAAACACATCAGCTTTATTTCAGAGCATTAAATAGGACTTTCTATTTTCCCTGTCAAAAGTTTTATGAGACAAGAACAGCTAAGCCAAGATGCCTTGCCATGCAAGACCTCAACTTCCTCTTTTTTTTTTTTTTTTTTTTTGAGATGGAGTCTGGCTTTGTCACCATGCCAGACTTTGGTGCAATCATATCATAGCTCGCTGCAACTCCTGGGCTCAAACCATTCTCCCATCTCAGCCTCCTGAGTAGCTGGGACTTCAGATGGGCATCGCCGCACTTCGTTAATTTTTTTTTAGTTTTTGTAGCAATAGGGTCTCACCATGTTGGCCAGGCTGGTCACAAACTCCTGGCCTCAAGCTATCCTCCCACCTCAGCCTCCCACAGTGCTGGGATTACGGGCATGAGCCACCACGCCTAGTGGCAAGACCTCAACTTTTAATGGAGATGTCTTATTATAACCATGTTATTTTAATAAAACCATATTAGTCATGCCAGTGAAATTTACTGAGACTCTTCCTTATCCCAAACTACTGACATAACAGTGATGTAAATATCTCCCCATCACTGGGTTTCTTTCCAACCTTTCTACTTCCTTAGGAGCACTGCATTTTTTTTTTTTTTTTTTTTTTTTTTGAGACGGAGTCTAGTTCTGTCGCTTTGAGACGGAGTCTAGTTCTGTCGCCCAGGCTGGAGTGCAGTGGCGCGATCTTGGCTCACTGCAAGCTCTACCTCCCGGGTTCACGCCATTCTCCTGGCTCAGCCTCCCGAGTAGCTGGGACTACAGGCGCCCACCACCGCGCCCAGCTAATTTTTTGTATTTTTAGTAGAGACGGGGTTTCACTGTGATCTCGATCTCCTGACCTTGTGATCCACCCACCTCGGCCTCCCAAAGTGCTGGGATTACAGGCGTGAGCCACCGCGCCCGGCTTGCATTTTTTTTTTTAAGGGTAAATGAGATTTTAATTGGCTGCTCAAGACAAAATGATCAACTTTTAAATATTGAATTGTTTTTCTCACCCACTGTGAAAAGCTAAAATTAACCCCTCTGTCTTTATAATGATATACTCTTTCCTGTTTTTATTCAGATAAAAATTATCTCTTTGCTACTTTGCTAATCCACAGATACTGGATGAAGAAAGTTACAATATAACGTATGAATATGAGTCATTATTTTTTAAAATACTGTTTAGGGCTCCAAACTCCAGAAAAATGATCAACTTGCTCATTTTCTGAAAGGGTTGAATCAATTCATGCTAGAAATGCCAAAAGATACTATTTCTGTATCCTTTTTAAATGACTAGGTAAAAATAATAATCCAATGTTACTATATAGTCAATCTGTTTTCATTCCATACAACATTTCAAACATAATTCCTTTTGAGAGAAGTTTCTGCTGCAAGTATCTTTCTTTCCTTCTTTAAAAGCTTATGGCAATCTCACTTCAGGCATGAAAACTTCCTATCAAGATACACAGAACAATGATATCACGTAACCACTTCATTTAAAACAATGCCTGAGTCTAGAATGAAATTAAACTGGGGGCATGTCTGTGCCTTGTTACTGCAGCCTTAGTTGCAGGATGAAGAGACAAGGGGTTGACAAATGACTCTCATGCCTGGGCCCCAAATGCGAGTCTCCAGTCTCCATAGCAACACCGCATTACAGAGTCACTCCACCACAGACGCACTTCGCTTGTGAGACTCAAATCCACAGCCATTCTGCTTGGCCTCCAGAAAACTCAGTTAAAATCAACCCTAAAGGCGGCTTAAAAACTAGTCTCCAGCCTGGGCGACACAGCGAGACTCCGTCTCAAAAAAAAAAAAAAAAAAAAACTGGTCTCCTTACTGAAATTCCAACATTAAAAACCTGTAGAGAAACACAGCTCTTTTATTTGCATTCCCCTTCCCATGTTTATTTGATCTGCAAAACTGGGCCACTTATCAGATTGACATAATGCTCCCAGAAAAAAGCTATGCTCAGAAATGCAGTGTATGCTAGCGGCACACGAGCGGCAGAAACTCAGGAACCAGGGAGAGTCTCTCACCACCTTCCCGCCCCCACTGCCTCGGAGTCCAAAGGCTAGTTCAGAACAGCGACGTGGCAGATTCAACTAACTAAGGCAGTTCTCTAGGGTCCAGGGATGCAGGGTGTGGTGGCGGTTTTAAAATGCCTGCAGTCTTTGACACAACCTCCTTCCCATCAAGAAGAGGAATGTCATCTTTCTCTGAAGGTGAGGGGGCCTAAGTAAGTCACTTGCATGAAACGGAATGCAGTAGAAATGACTGACTTCCTTCAGAGGCTGGGTTAGAAAAAGTGATACAGCTTCCTCCTGGCTCTCTCTGGGGACATTCATCCTTGGAACCCAGGCAACATGCCTGGAGGAAGCCCAGGCCACAAGGAAAGGCCACAGAAGTGTTCTCGTCAAGGGCCCCTGCTGAGACCCCAGGTGACAGCCAGCACCGACCACCACTCTGCGTGTGAGTGCCTGGAGTTGGCCCCACCCCGCTCCACCTGACTGCACAGGAGAGACACGCTGAGGGAGCCCATGACATGACTTCAGACATGACTTCACTGAGCCCACAGCTCCCAGACCATGCAGGCTCATCACCATCATCGTAAGCGAATATCGTCGTTTTGTGCCATCAAGTCCGGATGGTCTGTCAGGCAGTAATGGAACAGTGGGCTGAGGTGCATTTCCAGGAGCTGCAGGGCGAGACCCAAATTCCCAGCCCAGTTGAAGATACTAGCTGTGTTGGATGTGAGCAAACTGCCCCGCGATGCACCCTGGCCAAGGCCTGGGCCCAGGTTAGAACTGAGAGAGCGGGCCTGCAGGGCTGAGGATGCAGACTGGGACTCTTCCTCCACATACCGTGCTGGGGGCAGGGCAACCTTGGGGAGCTCCAAGACTCAGGGTGCTCCTGCGACCCTTGGAGCAGTCTAGGTTGATCCCGTGGTGCCACATCTGTAGCCCTGCTCCTCCATGAAGGGTCAGCAGGGCCTGTCCCCTCTGAGGGACAGAAGGGTCAGCATGGCTGGCAGAACCAGTAGTACACTTAGAATGGCTGAGCTGGGGATGCCTGAGGCTACCAAGAGTGAAACCAAGCATCTAAAGCCTTCTCAAAGGCTGACGCTGCCAAAGCCATCTTGCGTGACAAACCCAAACCCAAGCTCTCCCTGAGGTTGACAAACCCCATTGCTCAACTGCCAACTCCCTGGTGAGCAAAGAGCTAAATAATTTACTAATTAATGCTTCCTTTCTTTAAGAGTTTCATTCCCTAAAAAGAAACAGGAAAAAGCAATGGCAGGAAGTTCTGAAATCCTCTCTCATATGACTCTGCTTTGAAAGGGCAAATGTGCTGGTGCATGGAACAAGATCTCCTGTAGTCACACTCCACCTGCTGGGAACTGAGGGTTATGCCATCAGTATTCACCAGAAGGATGACACGCCATCACAGGCCCTTCCCAGCATCATCCTTTAAGCAGCTTTCAAAATGTAGTATCAAAGGCAAAACTGAGGCACAGTGCCCCAGCTGTGGCCACCAACTTCATATTAACTATACTTTTTCTCACCTTACTCAAAAGTGAATAGTTCTGGTAAAAATGATTGACCATGGAAAAATAACACTTTATGCTACAAACTGAAGGCTGGAATTCCTACTTTGGAATGGAAAATGCTTGATAAGAATAGGTACTCCATATGTCTTCAAAGACCCCAGTTGACTAGTTCAAGGTAAAAGTTAAACATATTAAAATAATTAAAATAAATTAAATTAAAAGAATTCTCTCCTTACCCACGCCGCCCTATGCCTTCTAGGGAAAATGTGTTGCTGTTGCAGTTACTTCCCTTTGGGACATTATTGGATTCTCTTCATTTCCCCAAGGCTTAGCTATCTGATATGCAAGGCAAAGCTAACAATACTGGCCCTCCTGAAAATGGGCCTCAAGGAACTGCAGATCAATATGACTGCAAAGCCTTTCATAAATATTTAGACTCTTAAAGCCAAAATCATGAATTCTCTCCATCTTTGCACCCATCTTACTACTTAAAACCTGAACTGGCAAAGTTGTTTTTAGACAAATTTAAATCTAGATGATTTACCTTTGTTACTTTGTCCATTCTCCCTCTGGGATGAAAAAGAAGTTCAGGAAAACAGGCATTCAGGGAACAGTACTTGGGGTATCGGACATCCTGTGGCCAATGTGAGAAAGCACCTCAGCATGGTGAAACAGAGTTCTCGGGGCCGGGAGGGCCAGCTCCATCTGTTGCTATAAATAGCTAAGCAACTTCTCCATACTCACCGGACTCACTCCCAAACAAGTCCTCTTCTCCCCATCTCAATTATCACTGTCTGAATTCAAGTCTTGCACTATTTCAACAGCCTCCTATCCCCTTCCTATCCCCTTCCAGAGGCCTTCCCCACTGCTACCAAGCCATTCTACTAAAAATGGAAATCTGATTTTATACATACTTCAACTCTAACTTCAATTGAAAGCTTGATCCTAAGGAAACTGATATTGAGGTGAAAACAGCATAGCACAGTGTTGCTAAGACCACGGACGCTGGAGCCAGACTGCCTGGGTTCAAATCTCAGCTTCCACATGTCTGGCTGCATCACTGAAGGCAGTTACTTAACATGTTTCTTTTCCCTTAATTTGTCTTAAACTTTTCCTCAATTTTTTGGTAACAGCTTTATTCACATACTGTACAATTCACCTATTTAAAGTGTACCTTTCAGGCCAGGCGTGGTGGCTCACGCCTGTAATCCCAGCACTTTGGGAGGCCGAGGCGGGTGGATTACCAGGTCAGGAGATTGAGACCATCCTGGTTAACATGGTGAAACCCCGTCTCTACTAAAAATACAAAAAAATTAGCCAGGCACGGTGGCTCACGCCTATAATCCCAACACTTTGGGAGGCTGAGGCTGATGGATCACAAGGTCAGGAGACTGAGACCATCCTGGCCAACACGGTGAAAACCCATCTGTACTAAAAAAAAAAAAAAAAAAAAAAAAAAAAATCAGCCAGGCGTGGTGGCGGGCGCCTATCGTCCCAGCTACTCAGGAGGCTGAGGCAGGAGAATGGCGTGAACCCAGGAGGCGAAGCTTGCAATGAGTGGATATCGTGCCACTGCACTACAGCCTGGGCTACAGAGTGAGACTCCGTCTCAAAAAAAGAAAAAATGCAAAAATTAGCCAGGTGTGGTGGCAGGTGCCTGTAATCCCAGTTACTCGGGAGGCTGAGGCAGGAGAATCACTTGAACCCAGGAGGTGGAGTTTGCAGTGAGCCGAGATCGTGCCATTTCACTCCAGCCTGGGTGTCAAGAGCAAAACTCTGACCCAACAAATAAACAAGTAAATAAATAAAGTGTACATTTCAGTGGTTTTCAGTGTTTTCAGAGTTGTGCAACCATCACTATAATCAATTTTGGAACATTTTCATCATCCTCCAAAAGAAACCCTGTACTCACTGGCAGTTACTCCCATTTTCCCTGCTCTCCCCAGCTCCTGGCAACCACTGATTTACTTTCTGTCTTTCCAGATTTGCCTCTTTTGCACATGTTATGAACAGAGTCATATAATACCTGGTCCCTGCCACTGGCTTCTTTCAGTGAGCATAACGCTTTCAAGGATCATTCATGTTACAGCGTGAATCAGTGCTTCATTCCTTTTTACGGCTGGATAATATCAAATGATATTCCATCATTTGGATAACACCACAGTTTATCCATTCATAAGACGACAGACATTTGGGTTGTTTGCGTTTTTTGGTTATTATGAATAATGTTACTATGAACATTTGTGTACACATTGTTGTGTGGACATATGTATGTTTTCATTTCTCTTGGGTATATAGCTAGGACTCCAATTCCTGGGTCATGTGGTAACTCTGTTTAAACTTCTAAGGGAACTCAACCTGCTTTTGAAAGCTATTTAATGATATGGGACGATGTTCTCTTTCTTTGATAAAAATACATAGAAATATACGCACACATACATTTACCTACATTTATTACAATTTGCGGGTATGTCTGTATCAAATACATTTCTGTACTTTCCAAATTTTCTATAAGTAATACAGTTGATTTTATAATCAGAAAGTAAAAAGTGATTTTTTGCAATACAACTGTTATTCTCCTGCTTAAAAGGCTTCAAAGGCTCCTTATTCCTTATAGGACTTTGCATAAACCTTTATGACCTAGGCCTTGCAAAGTCTCTGAGTTTGCCTATGTCAATACTCTGCTCCAGCAATATTAAATTATTTTAGTTTCCCAGGCACCGTCTCAGTGCCTTTGCACAGGCTGTTCCCTCTACCTGTAATTCCCATCCCTCCTGTGTTTGCCTCACAGACTCCCATTTTATTGTCCAAAGCTCCAATTTGGCTAAGAGAATTACACCTTGGCCTTTTCTTTATATCCCTAAATCCTAGAGCAATATTTGACTCATAGTAGAAGCTTAATGTATTGAACTGAACTGCAAATATTTTCATGTAACAAGGAAAATATTAGAATGTTATTTATAGTGACCTGCTACATTTCAGCATATGCTTCAAAGCATGTAGAACAGGATGAAAGGTGACAAGTACTTAAAAACTCTAATGCCAATAGCTAACAGTTATCAAGCACTTACTATATACTGGACTGTTTCACACAAGTTATATGTATTAACTCAATCTTCATAATCTTCCTATAAAATAGGTACAATGAATTTTTTTAATTCTTATTTTTTTGAGACACCGTGTCACTATGTTGCCCAGGCTGAAGTTCAATAGCACGATCGCAGCTCAATGCAGCCTCAACTTCCTGGGCTCAGGTGATTTGCCCACTTCAGTCTCCCCCAAATAGCTGGGACCACAGTCATGTGGACGCTACCAGCCTCAGCTAACTTTTTGTACCTTTTGCAGAGATGGGATTTCGCCATGCTGCCCATGCTGGGCTCAAACTCCTGGGCTCAAGTGATCCTCCCGCCTTAGCCTCCCAAAGTGCTGGGATTGCAGGTGTGAGTCACAGGGCCCAGTAAGCTACTGTTTTGAATATACTAATATATTATTAATATAACTAATATAATTTACCATGTAAATCATTTTGATTAGATTCTTAATATATTGGCACCCATAATTATTAAGCTGAGCTACTCTGGGCACACTGCCTATGGGGTAGCCCTGTTCCACGAGGAGCGGTATCAAAAAAAAAAAAAAAAAATTAAGCCGAGAAACACTTTTTAAAAGCATGTTCAAATAATTATAAGTCAAATTGAAAAAGTTCTAGTTTCACTGAAAACCACTGTATATGAAACTCTAGGAAGAAAAAGGATTGGATACGCCAACATCATGGTATGTAGGTAAAGAGAAGAATTTAAACAAAAGCCTTAAGGATACAAAGGCAGAGAGGAGAGCTGTAGATCAGCCTGTTTGGCTCAGGCCAGGCTAAGGAATCTGAAGACGGGCAACAGGGAAGGCTTAGGAAGCTCAAGAAGAAAAGCGGCATGGAATCCTAGTGACAAAAAAACCTCAATGAGGTCAAGAAAGCCAAATGCTTTGGAGTTAGAAACAAAGCAGAAGGTATTATGTGGCAAAGTAGCCTATATTTTTCATGAAATAAAACAAAACAATCACCAATTTTATGATTCAAAACATTATGTTCTTGTTATGAAATAACTTTGGATACATTTTTCTTCCGAATAAAAGGAGACACTTGTCTGTAGACTAATAACCTTTGGGAAACGAGCCTTCCATGGGTTGGGTGACCTCACGTTCTGCTCTTCCTGAACGGGCTCTATTTACACCGGTCACCCGGGCACCCATTTTACTCTCAAAAGTGTCCCAGTTTGAACTGGACTGTGGTGATACTGCACAGCTCTGTACATTTGCCAAAAAGCATTAAATTGTACACCTACCATGGGTAGATTTTACACCTCAATAAAGTTATTTAAAAAGAAATCCCAATTTGAATGACAAGTTAGATTGTTACCTGATCCATATGCCATGGCCTGAAGGCCTTAAAAGTGGTTAAGTGATATTTTGCAAATGGACAATTATCCCAAGGAGTTCTTTTACAAGAAGACAAACTTTCTTTTCTACCAAGCCAGCTTCTAGCCACATGACATCAAAATAAGACCTAGCCAAAAAGAAAGTCTCAGAGACCTAATGATATAGAAGTTGATCTCTATAGGCCCTGCCACCAATGATTCTTTGATCTTGTAAATATGAAAGCAACACTATTAATTATCCCTATTTAATGAGGCAACCTAAGCCAGTGTGCTACTCTAAATAAAATCTGCTCTAAAACCATAGGTGGTCTCTATTTGCTTCAAAAGGATACATATATTGTTAAAAGCTTTGGCGTGTTGCTGGCTTTAAATATTAAAGCTAGAAACTTTTCCAACTTCAACTTTAACTCTGGAGTCCAGGAATCCTAAAGAAAAAAACAAGGGAACAAAAACACAAACATTAGATTACTAAGTCCCAACAGTATCATCAAGTTGAGGTCATTAGGCCAAAAAACCCTGCACAGTGATTGAAACCAAAAGCAAAATGTCTTGCCAGTGATGTGAGGCTGTGAAAAACAGGTTTAGGACATCTGACCAACTCATTTATAGAAGATTCAAGTGTCCACAGTAGGAAGAAAAAATAGAGTTCTTTCATAAACAGGGAAAAAATAACCCTGAACATGATTTGAATATTTCACGTGATTTAAACACAATCGTGACAAGGAACCTTATTAGGCTGCATACCAAAAATAGTTCAGTACAGTCTAGGCACGCACAGCACTGGGAGGCACAACATAAACAATTATCACTAAGTTACTGAGACTTTCCCCAAGAAAGGGACTCATTTCCACAAACCTCATCTAGATAAGAAAAAAGGACAGAAGCTATTTTCTGCCACAAATACCCCATCATGTCAAGAATTATGATATAGTCTTAACATGATTTATCCTTTAAAAATAAATTATTTATCTCAAATAATGCTTATTAAGAAGAAAAAATTAATGACTTAAATAAGAAAAAAACATAACAAGTAACTATCTTTGTCTCAGGACAATTTTCCTTATACTCTTTATACAGAAATATCTTCTACCCAAACCAAGAAGTTCCACAAAAAAAAGCAGCTAAGCCACTAAAAATGCATACCCACCATCCTTTTGGATGCTGCCCCATGGCCCTTGGACCTTTCCATCCTTCTCCACTGTCTGCCTCTCCAGCTCTGTAACCTCCTCCACGCCTCCCACCCCCACCCAATCATTCTAGCCAGTATGTCATCTGATTTCTGGAAAAAATACTGCCAGATGAGCAGAAAGTTCTTTTTTTTTTTTTTTTTTGAGACAAGAGTCTTGCTTTGTCACCCAGGCTGGAGTGCAGCGGCTTAAGGTTCAAGCGACTCTCCTGCCTCAGCCTCCTGAGTAGCTGGGATTACACGCGAGTGTCACCAAGCCGGGCTAATTTTTGTATTTTTTTTTTTGGTAGACACGGGGTTTCACCATGTTGGCCAGGCTGGTCTCGAACTCCTGACCTCAAGTTATCCACCTGCTTTAGGCTTCCAAAGTGCTGGGATTACAGGCAAGAGCCACCATGCCCAATCAGAGAGTTCTTATATTTTTAAAAAATTGTGTAATTCCCTTATACTGCATGATAACTTTATTTATAACATGTGTGTTATTATGGATTGAACTGTGTTCCCTCAAAATACATGCTGAAATCCTAACGCCTGGTACCTCAGAACATCAGGTCGTTGGGAATGGGGTCATTGCCAATGTAATTAAAGTTAAGATAAAGGCCACACTGGAGTAGGGTGGGTCCTTAATCCAATATGACTGGTGTCCTACAAGAAGAAAATTTAGACACAGACACAGAAGGAAGACAGCCACGTGATGATGGAGACAGAGACTGGAATGATGCTGCCACAGTCACAGAACACCTGGGGCTACCAGAAGCTGGGAGGGGAAAGGAAGAATCCTCCCCTAGAATTCGGGGACAGCATAGCTGGGCCAACACCTTGATTTCAGATTTGTAGCCTCCAGAACTGTAAGACAATGAATGTCTGCTGTCTCAAGGCAGCTGGCCTGTGGTACTTTGTTAGGGCAGCCCTAGGGAAATCACCCAAGTGCTACAACTCAAGGTAGTCTATGCTCAACCACACAGAGAAGAATCTCAGGAAAGGACTGCTACATCTCAAAAAACAAAACGAAATGCTTGGGACATGCAGACTTCCAGTTAGATTGCTCTGTTGTTGACTACTATTTTGTATAACCAACAAATATGTGTTTTCAATGTAATTACTTACTTTATGATGCTCTGGTAATGACAGGGATGAGACTGAAATAAAGCCTCTCTGGACATGAGTCACTTATATTTTTTCTTGACCATTCTTACTTTTTCTGTGCTTTCAACTCTGAGAACAAGAACATTTCCGAGCTGGGCGTGGTGGCTCAGTTTGTTAAATGAAGAGATGGTCAGAGATAGGAGGAAAATTAGAAGGAAAATTAGAGCAAGGAAGCCAAGGAGTTTTTTTTTTTTTTTTTTTTTTGAGACGGAGTCTTGCTCTGTGACCCAGGCTGGGGCGCAGTGGCACAATCTTGGCTCACCCCAACCTCTGCCTCCTGAGTTCAAGAGATTCTCCTGCCTCAGCCTCCAGCGTAGCTGGGATAACAGGCATTAGCCACCATGCCTGGCTAATTTTTGTATTTTTAGTAGAGACGGGGTTTCACCATGTTGGCCAGGCTAGTCTGGAACTCCTGACCTCAGGTGATCCGCCCACCTCGGCTTCCCAAAGTGCTAGCATTAGAGGCGTGAGCCACCACACCTGGCCTAAATTTTTAATATGTTAAATAAATAAAAGAGAGGAAGGAATGAGAGACTATAAAAATGTCCCAGCAAATTTGAATAAACAACAACCACAAAAAACTTCTAATAAAGAGTTAACTGAGGCCGGGCGCGGTGGCTCAAGCCTGTAATCCCAGCACTTTGAGCTGAGATCCGGCCACTGCACTCCAGCCCGGGCAACAGAGCAAGACTCCGTCTCAAAAAAAAAAAAAAAAAAAGAGTTAACTGAAATTACAAATTCTATGAAAAGGTTAAAGAACAGACTAAACAAAGCTGGAGGGTGAGTTTGTGAACTGGAAGGCAGATGTGAAGAGATCACCCAGAATACAGCCAGAGAGATTAAGAGAAGGAAAACATAAGATATTAAAATGTATGGCGAGCACAATGATGTGCACGTTCTTAGCACCACTCAGCTGAACCCTCGAAAATGGTCAAAATGGTGGCAGTGCATGCCTATAGTCTAGCTACTCGGGAGGTTGAAGTGGGAGGATCACTTGAGCCAAGGAGGTCAAGGCTGTAGCGAGCTATAATCATGCACTTCAGCCTGAGGGATAGAGTTTTAAAGAGACTCCATCTCTTTTAAAAAAAAAAAAAAAAAAAAAAAAAGTCAAAATGGTAAATTTTATGTTATGTGTATTTTATAATTTTTTTAATAAAAAAGATATGGAGAATATAATAAGTCTCATATACATTTAGTCAGATATCTAGGAGATAATAAAGAGAATGGTAATATACAAAGAGATACAAATTGAGCATTTTTCAGAGTTGTTGAAAGACACAAAACTTCACATCCAGGAAACCCAACAAATCCCAAGTAAAAATAGAAATCTATCCCTAGAAACACCGTAGGGAAATGATACAATCCCAGAGGCCAGAGAAAAGAGATGGATCACCTACAAAGGAACAGCAATTAGACTGACAGCCAACTTCAAAATAGCAGCAATGTGAGCTAGGAGATGGTGCAATCTAGCTAAGCTTTGTATCTTCAATGTACTAAGAGAAAATAACTGTAAACTTAGTATTCTAAATCCTACCTGAGAAAGCAATAAAGACACTGCAGTCAAACAAGAACTGAAAGAAGAGATCTTCAAGGAAAGGGGGTTTTAAAGATATGTACTTAAATAAGAGGAGACAACTATCCCAGATGGAAGGTCATTAACACAAGATGGAATGATGAACACAAATACTAGTAGCTATAAGGGAAAATCTACACACCACTGATTGCATAAAATAGTAAAACTTCCTAATTTGTACATTTAAAATATATAACTAAGATACTTGGTGGAAAAAAAAAAAAAAAAAGCACATAAATTGCAAAGGGGATGAATGAAGTTAATGCATTCTGAGTTCCCTGAATGTTTTAGAAGAAAATAAAGATTAAATTTAGACTTTATGGCTGGGCGTGGTAGCTTATACATGTAATCCTAGCACTTTGAGAGGCTGAGGCAGGCAGATCACCTGAGGTCAGGAGTTTGAGACCAGCCTGGTCAACATGGTGAAACCCTGTTGCTACTAAAAATACAAAAATTAGCCAGGCATGATGGCGCGTGCCTATAATCCCAGCTACTCGGGAGCCTGAGGCAGGAGAATCGCTTGAACCCAGGAGGTGGAGGTTGCAGTGAGCCAAGATTGAGCCATTACACTCTAGCTCGGGTGACAAGAGTGAAACTCCATCTCAAAAAAAAAAAAAAAAAAAAAAAATTGACTTTATTATGTATACATACTAAAAATATCTATGTTACCATTAAAAGAACATATGTAGACTAACAAAAGAAAAAAATGGAATAAAATCAATCTCCACGAATATGGAAGGTCATTAAATTCCTTAAACCACCAGAAGCTGAACTCCATCTTGGAACACCAAATCTGAGTGAGTCAAGCTGCCAGCTGCAGCCTCTGCTAGGCCCCATCCCTGATTCTGCCAGCTCTGCTGCCACCTGGATCCAAGCTTTATCCATGCTGCTATGCCTCAGGAACGGAAGTCTCACTGTGAGAAAATCTACCGTCCCTTTCCAAGATTATTTATTTTTAGAAATTTTTCAATTTAATTTTTAATTTTTTAAAATTTATTTTTATTATTTTCTTTGTTTTAATCCTCCAAGACATCTGAACCCTTCCAAATTTAACCACCTTCTTAACGTTTATTTCTTCAACTTTCTGGGAGAGGAAGTAGGTAAATCTAGAATGATCAAGAAAAAACAGCAAAAATTTCAACTTGGGCTACTCTACAAAAGGCCTGCTTTAATGAAAGCAGTCAACTAAGTAGCCTTCAGTTTAGCAGTTACTATTCAGGAGGGATGAAAGTTGTTCTACAGAATTATAACTGAATGGGATGCTGAAATGTACTGGGATTTGGAAGAATTGCATCAGTTGCTGTTGAGTGACAGAGTGACCTGGGTGACAGAATGAGACTCTGTCTCCAAAACACAAACAAACAAGGCCAGGCGCAGTGGCTCACGCCTGTAATCCTAGCACTTTGGGCAGCCAAGGCAAGTGGATCACCTGAGGTCAGGGGTTCAAGACCATCCTGGCCAACATGGTGAAACCCCATCCCTACTAAAAATACAACAATTAGCCAGGCATGGTGGTGCGCACCTGTAGCCCCAGCTACTCAGGAGGCTGAGGCAAGAGAATCACTTGAACCCGGGAGGCAGAGGTTGCAGTGAGCCGAGTTTGCGACACTATACTCCAGCCTGAGCGACAGAGCAAGACTATCTCAAAAAAAACCAATTAAACAAACAAAACATACTTGTGTTAAAATTCATGGAACTATACATCCTGAAAAGTCAATTCTATGTGTGAGAAAGTAAAAAGTTTAAAGTTGCCATTCGAGCAGGTGAGAATCCTTGCTTGCTATAATTTTTTTTTTTGAGACAAGGTCTTGCTCTATTGCCCAGGATGGAGTGCAGTGGCACTCTTGGTTCACTGCAACCTTCACCTCCCGGGTTTGAACAATTCTTCTGCCTCAGCCTCCTGAGTAGCTGGAATTACAGGTGCATGCCACCACGCCCAGTTAATTTTGGTACTTTTAGTAGAGATGGGGTCTCCCCATGTTGGCCAGACTGGTCTCGAACTCCTGGCCTCCAGTGATCCACCCACCTCGGCCTCCCAAAGTGCTGGGATTACAGGTGTGAGCCACCGTGCCCGGCCAACTTTCTGTAACATTTTAACACTGGTACACATATGCCTAAAAACTACTTTTGTTTGCTTTGATGTATATGTAAAGGGAATCACATAGCTTGTCCTCTCTTGTATCCAGCTTAAGATTTCATCATTGTGTGATTTAGTTCATTCATTCTCATTGACGTATAATATTCCATTGCGTGAATATAACACAATGTATTTATGCATGCTTCTGTTGGTGTACAATTGGGTTGTTCCTAGTTTTTGCTATTACAAAGTGTTAATTACTGTAACTCTTCCAGATTTAATATATGTACAAGTCGCAAACCACTGCTAGTACAGGATGGCAAAAACCAAACCTAACTAACCATCTAATAGAAGACTGACTAAAAAATTATGGCTATAACTAAAAATAATAACAGAAGCAAATTTTAGTTTTTTAAAGCATCATTCAGAAATCCCCAGCTTATAGAAGATAAAACCACAATGTCACCCAGGACCTGACACGAGTTAAAAGCTGACACTTACCTGGAAGAGTTCTTTAAATGAGGGGTGCACCATAGGGTTGGGAACAAAAGGAAGGGCATAGAAAGGAAGAAACTCTGTGGTCTGGCTCAAGGCTGCCCCTTTGGTCTCCAGGTAGGTTTTGAAGTAAGAAATCTTTTCATCCCGCTCCTCTTTGTCCTGGAGGAAGGGAAAGCACTTGTTTGAGGTCTCCAGCTCAATGCCCAGTCCATCTGCTCACCCCATCCTCTCTCTGAGCCTCCTTCTGTCCCAGCCTGGCGCCGGCATCCCCTATCTAGCCTGGCAGGCGCGTTGTCTCTAGAATTCTACCATCCACCCTAAATTTCCCCCTTAATGAAACTTAGCAAGATCAGAGAACTGTATATACAGTTCAATATGCTGCTTTTTAACTTTATTATTGCCATTTTCTCACATCCTTAAAATTCTTCATAAACATTTTCAATGGCAGGACAAAACCTCATCTTGTCTATCACATTTATTTAACTAGTTTCCTCATTATTAGACAGACACATGGCTTCTACTTTGCAGATATAAATAAGTATCTGTCTGCATTCCCATGCCTCCAGCAGGAGCAGTTTCTAAAGGTTAACAGGCATTTCTTTATGGTGTTTGGAAACAGAAGCTTCCATCTCACTCCTTTCCTTTCTTGTGCTAAGGCCTGGGCTTGCTCCGTGTCACTATTCCATGTGTATCCCAGGCAAGTTAGTTCCCCTCTCAGGGTTCTACCTCCTCTTGGCCCTCAATGAGAAAACCAGAGTTGGTGAATGTGGGGCTTTGCTCCCACACTGGCTCTACCAGTCATGGCCTTCACAGTCTCGTACACAGACTAACCTGTTCTTACAAACACATCTCAGTTGACCTATACCAGGAGGCCCTCTTTTGACCCCCAGACATAAAAGAAACAGAAATACAAACAGAAAATGAAAATCTCCTGTGATCTTCCTCGGAAGAGTAATAACCTGAGGAACAGCCTTCCAACAACTACTACAATGTACGCTCCTGCTGCTCCCTCCACCACTGTCCCCACCTTTGGTGTTCTGACAGTCTCATGCGTTCACATTGGTCCACAGGGCAGTAATTAATGCACGGGGTCAAATGCCAGCTCGCCTCTGTTGCCCTTCTGTCATCAAAGCTCAGCCACCCCAGCAGCTTGACATTTCAGCCCTCTCCTCTCTTCCCATCTCCAGCCCCATCTGGGAAAGGACTGCAGACGCTAAATTCAACCTATCACTCAAAAGGACTTTCCACAAAGAGACGTGCCCTTTTCCACGACTTAAGTTTAAATGTGTGTTCTGGCCAGACACAGTGGCTCATGCCTGTAATCCCAGCACTTTGGGAGGCCAAGGTGAGAGGACTGTTTGAGCCCAGGAGTTCAAGACCAGCCTGGGCAACATAGCAAGACCCTTTCTCTACAATAAATATGTAAATAATTTTATGTTCTAATATAGGGTCTAATATGCAGCTGAAATATGGATTCTCTTAGACATACATGTCTACCGACAAAATTGCCAAATAAACTTAATTTTGATGAGGTTTCAAAAACTTGAGGTATTTAGGAAAATAATATAGCTTTAATTACAGAAATTATCAAATCTCCATAAAAATTAGAATATAAGCTACTGGGAATATGGTAGAAAATCACTCCTCATGATAGAGGATGCCTATACCTTGTAAGCAATATAACAAAACAGCCACATATAAAATCCACACCCATGTGGACAATGACAGCAAACACTGTTCCTTAACACACCATTCAGATCCACCCGCAACACCAGGTAAACCCACCGGTCTCCCCACAGAGTGCTTCAGAAGATAGATGGCAAAATGGATGTGGAGATAGAATTCCAGCTTCTGGGCAAAGGAGTCCCCATCTCGGACGGAACTAGGAATATGCTCCTCCCACAGACTGAAGAACACCTTCTGGTCTCCGTCGTCAAATGCAGCAACAAGATCCTTCTGTGGAGAAGACATCAGACTACACCTCGTTGTAAATTTCAACACCCAAAATTCTCACAACTCACACCACCACAGATTTCCCACATACTCCTTTTCAGAGGTAAAGGATAGAAAAACAGAGATCCCACAGGATTCAAGCTCCTGAGCCTGCGATTCCTGCAGACCAACCCTGGTTTCCCACACCTTTGCAATACCTAATCTGGGCACTATGAAGAACACACAAAACATTTAAGGTCTTTGAAACAGAAAGAATAAGGCATAGAACAAAGACTTGGGGCCAGAGAACTCATGGACATGTAAATATACTGAAGTCACCCTTTGGACCTGCTGACCCACAGCATGCAACTGACAAAAGCTATCCAGACCGAGTCTAGCCGGGCCTCCCAGGAACAAACCTCACATGCACGGAAGGTTGCTGACAGCATGGTTCCACGTCCTGGAGTGGCCGGGAGCCCACACACACTGACCCAGTCAATCCTGGACCTAGGCAATAGCACTGCCACTTGCCCCACTGCTAGAAGCACACCAGGCTGAGATGGAGCTGAAGGAAGCCACTATAGACCCCAATATACCATAAGGTGACTGTCCATGCCTGCCAGCTGCAGCTGCAGCGACAGAGAAGGCTGGAGGTGGAGGAAGGAGCACCAACTCAGTGCCGTTTGACCTGGGACAACAGCGTCATGATTTAGCATGCACTAGTTGAAAGAATTCTGGAGAAAGGAAGTGGCAATTATCATGTCACCTGTGTCACAAGGAAGATAATTCACCTGTCACAAATACCTGTGGCATAATTTTGTGGATTTAAGTAAAAGGCAGAAGTGAAAGAACTTCCTAAGAGTCTAAAACAATGCAGCTGCTACTGTTCTTTTTGTATTGAATGCCCAAGATATTTGGACTTACATTTTATGCTCAACTCCAACAGTGTTTCTGAGATTGGATTTTCTATAGAATCCCCACTTCCCCACCCAATACCATTGTTACTTACCACCATTATTGGCCTTTGTTCTTTTATACTTCTAAAAATGAGTTCATGGGTGCAGTGGCTCACACTTGTAATCCCAGCACTTTGGGAGACCAAGGTGCGTGGATCATGAGGTCGGGAGTTCAGCCTAACCAACATGGTGAAACCCCGTCTCTACTAAAAGTACAAAAACTAGCCAGGCGTGGTGGTACATGCCTGTAATCCCAGCTACTTCGGAGGGTGAGGCAGGAGAATTGCTTGAACCTGGGAGTCAGAGGTTGGAGTGAGCCGAGATTGTGCCACTGCACTCCAACCTGGGCAATAGAGCGAGACTCCATCTCCAAAAAAAAAAAAAAAAAAAGTCAGTTTACGTGGCCGAGCATGGTAGCTCACACTTGTAATCCCAGCACTATGGAAGGTCAAGGCAGGCAGATCATTTGAGCCCAGGAGTTCAAGACGAGCCTGGACAACATGGTGAAACCCTGTCTCTACTAAAAATACAAAAATTAGCTGGGCGTGGTGACATGTGCCTGTAGTCCCAGCTACCTGGGAGGCTGAGGTGGAAGGACCATCTGAGCCCTGGAGGTAGAGGCTGCAGTGAGCTGAGATTGCACCACTGTATTTCAGCCTAAGCGACAGAAAGAGACCCTGTCTCAGAAAAAAAAAAAAAAAAAGAAAAGAAAAATGTTTACAGATAATTTTCCTGCAAAATTGTCATTTTTAAAAATTACCTGTTTTATCTGTTTATAAGCAAATTTCCTAACATCAAATGGAAACGTATAGAGAACAAATAATGTGACAGTGTTTGGTTACACATAGGTCAAAGATGTTGATTGGTAAGGAATCCTCAAATCTGAATATCACAAAAATGTGCACTATGTCATGTGATCAAACACTGTCTCTGAATACTGCCTGATGCTGGAAGGTGCCGGTTACATTTCAAGTAAACTCAGAATTTTTCTAATAAGCCCTACAATGAGCATCTACCTCCTCAAGGCTGGCTCTTCTATTCCTCCTGGACACAGGCAAGGGACAGTCTGTTAGCAGCTGTGGGTGGGGGTTGCCAAAACAAAGCCCAAGCAGCCGAATACAGCCACCTCTTGGAAGAATTTGGGGAAGCTGGCTAGAGACCCGCATGCTTGTTAATGACTGCCACAAAGGTGAACAGATCCTCCTGGGGCAGTGCTGTGGGGCCAGGCTCAGCCCCACGCTTGCCTCTGCCAAGGTCCCAAGCAAGCCCTGTGACCATTCCTGAGGAGGCCTTGCCACGAGAAGTGTGGTGACCAAGAGCTCTGTGACTGTGTGATTGAGGTGAGCGCAGACTCTTGTGAAATGTTATGGCTTAGAGAAAAGGTATTTTCTTAACATGGCTTGGCAGAGTCCACAAGTCAAAAGGCCCATCTACAGTTTGTTCTAAGGTCTCTATTTGTAGATCTGAAACCACAAACCTTTGCTGTCATCATAATCACCTCTATCATCCTTCTTAACTCATGACTCATATTCTGTACCTGGAAATGGTCCCTGAGCTTAAAATAATACCCACACATAAAAGAATCCACTATTATAACTTACAGTCACAAAATACTAGTGATGTTCTATAAACTATGATCAAAGCAGAATCAACAAGATGAGAAAATGTGTACACCATCAATAGTAACTTGTAAACACACATGCTTCTTACATCTCACAACAATGTAAACATACTTAACACTACTGAACTATACACATAAAACTGCTGGGGGAAACTCACTATTTTTTGAGTTCCACTAAAAATTAGCATATTTTGCTAAACCTCAGTTCTAGATGTAATTTTTTCTTCTTCTTTTTAAATTTTTTTCCCCACTCTTCTTCACTCAAACCAGACATTTCATTTGGGAAATCTACCATAGTGGGGGACACAGCTGTTGATTGGATGAGCAGAAAAGAAATGTTTGTGACAATCAGAAAGGTTCAAGGTCTTTCAAGTTATATAAAAATGAACCTGAAGACATCAGAGAAATACAAATCAAAACTATGACAAGATATCACTTCAAACCCATCAAAATGGCTAACATTTTAAAAACACACAGAGAGAAAATAACAAGCATTGGCAAGGAAGTAGAGAAACTGGAACGTTTAAGTACTGCTGGTGGGAATGGAAAATGGTACAACCACTTTGTAAAACAGCTTGGCAATTCCTCAAAAAATGAAAAATAGAGCTACCATATGATCCAGCAATACTTGCTGGCATATATCCAAAAGAACAGAAAGCAAGGCCTTAAAGAGATACTTGCACACCCACGTTCACTGCAGCACTATTTTTTTTTTTTGAGAACAAGTCTCGCTCTTGTCCCCCAGGTTGGAGTGCAATGGTGCAATCTTGGCTCACTGCAACCTCCGTCTCCCAGGTTCAAGCTATTCTCTTGCCTCAGCCTCCCGAGTAGCTGGGACTACAGGCACTGGCCACCACGCCCGGCTAATTTTGTATTCTTTTTTTTTTTTTTTGGTAGAGATGGGGTTTCACAATGTTGGCCAGGCTGGTCTTGAACTCCTGACCTCAGGTGATCTGCCTGCCTCGGCCTCCTAAAGTGCTGGGATTACAGGCGTGAGCCACCGCACCCGGCCCTAACAGCATTATTCTTAATACCCAAGAGGTGGAAGCAACCCGAGTGTCCATCAATAGAAGAACAGATAAACAAGCTGTGGGGTGTGTGTGTGAATATGTACCAGAGAATATTATTCAGCCTTTAAAAGGAAAGGAAATCTTGTCATATACCGCAACATGAATGAACTTTGATGACATTATGCTGGGTGAAATAAGCCAATTACAGAAAGACGAATACTGTATAATTCCATTTATAGGACATATCTAAAGTAGCCAATTCATAGACGGAAAGTTAAGAATAGTGGCTGCCAAGGCCTAGGGGGAGGATAAAGGGAGAGTTTTTCAATGGGGACAGAGTTTCATGTTTGTAAGATGAAAAATTCTAGAGATCCGTTTTACAACAACGTGAACACATTTAACACTACTGAACTGTACACGTAAGAATAGTTAAGATGAGACATTCTATGTTATCTTTAATCACAATTTTTTTAAAAGACCTGAAGAGACATTTGAGTGTTCTCAGATGCAGCTGGAGCTGAAAGGCAACGGGAACCCAGTTGGAAAAGTGTACAGCAGCCGCCTCTGGAGGGACCCGATAAGCAAAGAAGCTTCACGACACAGGGCCTGTCGGCCTTACCCTGTATCATCACATAATCTGGTCACGTGTGAACTCCACAAAAGATTCTCACTGTTCTGCTAGTTAGGTATTGAGGATTTGCTACATTCCTCTCAAATGGTAGCTTTAATTAACAGATGCTCACATACACTTCCCACGTGTAGGGTAAAGGTCTTTTTTTCATCTAGAAAGAACCAGGGAAGCCACGTGCTGGGGAGTGAAGCTGATTCCCCGAGGAACACAGTTCACTCTAAGAACCTGTTTTCGCCTCTAATAATGACTGTATTCTTTTATGTTCTGAATGTATCTCTCTGGGGGAGGGGGTGCCAGGGAGGTCTGGCTCCTGTAGCATCCACAGAAGAGTCTGTGTTGACAGAAAGCAGCAGCAGCTCAGCATCCAGGGGCCTGAGGCCTGAAGGGGAGCAGGCAGAGGGTTCAGCCCTGCCTTGAGCTCCATAGGCCACTTCAAAAGTGCCCCTCTCTCAACAGTGCCCATGCCAGGCCATTAGGGAGTCAAGTACTAGAAGAAAACCAGCGGTGGCTGCCACCTGAACTCCGGCTACTCAAGGGGTTTACAAGCCAAGCCTCAAATTATTTCTGGAAGTAGGTATGTTAAAATTTAAAAATCTGTTAAAGTAATAAGGCCAGGTGCAGTGTCTCATGCCTATAATCCCAGTGCTTTGGGAGGCTGAGGCAAGAGGATCACTTAAGATTGGGAGTTTGAGACCAGCCTGGGAAACACAGCAAGACTCTGTCTCCACATAACTTTTTTTTTTTTTAATTATAAGAATAAAATAGACCAGGCATGATGGCTCACATCTGTAATCCCAGCACTTTGGATGGCTGAGGCAGGTGGCTCACCAGAGGTCAGGGGTTTGAGACCAGACTGGCCAACATGGTAAAACCCTATCTCCGCTAAAAATACTAAAACTAGCCGGGCATGATGGCGTGTGCCTGTAATCCCAGCTACTTGGGAGGCTGAGGCAGGAGAATCGCTTGAACTCAGGAGGCGGAGGTTGTAGTAAGCCGAGATCCTGCCACTGCACTCCAGCCTGGGCAACAGAACACAACTCCATCTCAAATAAATAAATAAATAATAAAATCATCCAAAGGTGAAACATGCTGTCTCAGGAAATGGTCAATGGAAATATTCTAGGTGAACTGATTACTTATCTGGCATATTACAAATGAGATCGAGACATCAAATAATGGTTAAAATAATGACTTTTTTTTTTGGAGACAGGGTCTTACTCTGTCACTACAGCTGGAGTGTAGCAGTATGATCATGGCTCAACGCAGCCTTGATTTCCTGGGCTCAAGTGATCCTCCTACCTCAGGCAACTAAGCAGCTACAACTACAGGTGCATGCCACCACGCTTGGTCAATTTTTTATTTTTTATAGAAACGAGGTTCCGGCTAGGCGTGGTGGCTCATATCTGTAATCCCAGCATTTTTGGGAGGCCAAGGCGGGAGGATCACTTGAGGTCAGGAGTTCGAGACCAGCCTGGCCAATGTAGTGAAACCCCATTTCTACTAAAAATACAAAAATCAGCCAAACACAGTGGCATCTGCCTGTAATCCCAGCTACTAGGGAGGGTGAGGCAGGAGTATTGCTTGAATCCCAGTGGCGGAGGTTGTGTTGAGCCGAGATCGTACCACTGTACTCCAGCCTGGGCTACAGAGTGAGAGATTCCATCTCAAATAAAAAGAAAAAGAAACGAGGTACTACTGTGTTGCACAGGCTGGTCTTGAACTCCAGGGCTTATGCAACACTCCTGCCTTGGCCTCCCAAAGTGCTCGGATTACAGGAGTCAGCCACCATGCCCAGCCAAGGATTTTTAAGTTCCCTTCTAACCCTGAGAGTTGAGGTCTGTATAACCTCCCCTGAAGCCCACTGGTATTCAGAGTTGCTCAGACTTCCTTTCACAGACCCACCTCGTCAGTCTCACTCTTGCTCCCTGTTCCCTCCAACCTCCCCAAGCTAGAATGCAAATGCTGTACTGGCAGGGGCTGGATTTCGTTTGTTCGCTGTTGGATCCCCAGTGCCTAGAATTAATAACCTGAAACTCCTCAGGAGGAAGGCTACAATTCCTGAACATTGCATGTTTCTTCTTTTCCTTCTTCCCAAGAAATGTTTGTGAAAGATCTTATATGGCTACACATTTCCTAGGGAGGGTACAGAGATTTAAAATGGCATTATTAGTTCATCTATAAACACTTGTGCAATCTAAAGTAACTCTGAGCAAGTGCTCCAAAACTATTCCAGCACTATCCAATGGCAGCATTTTCCACAAGTTGGGAGCATCTTGAATTATCTACAGGGATGAAAAATAAGCAAAATGTTACCTGAATTGTCAATGATTTCGAGTCTCTGAAAGATCCACCTACTGTTTTACACAATGGTTTTCCTTTTATTTTGCATTCTTTTGAAAATGTTTTCAAGGTGTCTTCAAATTCAGCAAAATCTAAATACTATAAAAAATAAATAATTCAATTAAACAGCAAAACAAACAAATAATCTAATTTAAAAACAGCCAAAGGATCTGAATAGATATTTATCCAAAGAAGACATTAAAAGGACCAGCAGATACCTGAAAAGGTGCTTAACATCACTAACAATCAAAGAAATGCAAATCAAAACCACACAGACATAATTCCCTCACACCCGTCAGAATGGCTATTACAAAAAAGACAAAAGATAAAAAGTGTTGGCAATGATGTGGAGAAAAGGAAACACTTGCATACTATTGGTGAGATTGTAAATTGGTACAGCCATTATAGAAAACTGTATGGAGGTTCCTCAAAAAAATAAAAACAGAACTACCGGCTGGGAGCAGTGGCCCACGCCTATAATCCCAGCACTTTGGGAGGCTGAGGTGGGCAGATCACAAGGTCAGGAGTTCGAGATCAGCCTGACCAACATGGTGAAACCCCATCTCTACTAAAAATACAAAAATTAGCCAGGCGCAGTGGCGCATGCCTGTAGTCCCAGCTACTCAGGAGGCTGAGGCAGGAGAACTACCTGAACCAGGGAGGCAGAGCTTGCAGTGCGCCGAGATCACACCACTGCACTCCAGCCTGTTGACAGAGTAAGACTCCATCTCAAAACACACAAACAAACAAAAACAGAACTACCAGATGATCCAGCAATTCCATTTCTGGGTATAGACAGAAAGAAAATAAAATCAGTATTTCAAAGAGATATCTGCATCCGCATGCTCATTGCAGCATTATTCATAATAGCCAAGATATGGAAATGATCTAGGTGTCTATCAATAGATGAATGGATAAAGAAAAAGTGGTGTCAGGTGCGGTGGCTCACGCCTGTAATCCCAACACTTTGGGAGGCCGAGCTGGGCAGATCACAAGGTCAGAAGTTCGAGACCAGCCTGACCACATGCTGAAACCCTGTCTCTAATAAAAACACAAAAATTAGCTGGACGTGTTGGCGGGGGCCTGTAATCCCAGCTACTTGGGAGGCTGAGGCAGGAGAATCGCTTGAACTCAGGAGGCAGAGGTTGCAGTGGGCCGAGATCGCGCCATTATACTCCAGCCTGGGCAACAGAGCAAGACTCTGTCTCAAAAAAAAAAAAAAAGAAAAGAAAAGAAAAGAAAAAGCGCTATAGGCCAGGTGGCATGGCTCATGCCTGTAATCCCAAAACTTTGGGAGGCCGAGGCAGGAGGATTGCTTAAGATCAGGACTTTGAGGCCAGCCTGGGTGACAAAGCGAGACTCCATCTCAGATAGATAAATTTTTAAAAGAAAATGTGTTACACAGGTAGGGTGCAGTGGCTCATGTCTGCAATCCCAGAACTTTGGGAGGCTGAGGCAGGAGGACTGCTTGAAGCCAAGAGCTCAAGACCATCTTGGACAACAGAATGAGATCCTATCTCTACAAAAATTAAAATAAAATCTAGCTGAGCATGGTGGTGCACGCCTGTAGTCTCAGCTACCTGGGAGGCTGAGGCAGGCAGATTGCTTGAGCCCAGGAGTTCAAGGCTACAGTGAACCATGATCACACCACTGCACTCCAGCCTAGGTGACAGAACAAGACCTTGTCTCTAAAAAATATATATATTCACCATCACACCACCAAATTCCAAATCTGCATTTGCATGGTGGGTGCCTCATTCTTGCTCCAGACCCATGGCTCTTGCAACCTGCAGATGGTTACTCACAGAGTTAAGCAGCAGCAAGCACCAACCATTTCTTTAGCACCAGAAAGTTTAAGGCCTGGGCCCTACTTGTCAAAGCTTTTAGTGTAGGAAACCTAGGCCATTACCAGACAATGAGTTAAAAAAATTATGATGCATCTACTCAGTGAAACACTCTATGGCATTCAAATGTCTAGGGCGGATCATAGGCAGATGTTCATGCTATATTATTGTTGGCAGATAAAAAGCAAGCTACAGAACAATGTATCATCCCATTCTGCAAAACAAACTACAGGCATATGAACATATTTTTACTATTCATAGAAAGAAGTCTGGGAGGGAAATTTCTTTTTTATATTTCTGTAGTGCTTGAATCTTTTACCATGGACATGTATTGTTTTTATAATTTTCTTTCAAGGGACTTTTTAAGTGACTTTAAGATCTGTTTAGTTATAAAAACAAAATGTAAATGCATGGAATATTATATAATAGAAAAATAGCTCCAACATAACAATAGAAGAAACACTATAAAGCACTAAACAGTTGGTTGCATTTTAAAACACAAGTTTTCAAGATGTTTCTCTGTGACCTCTGTTTTGTATAATATACCTACCTCTCTCACTAGTCCAAGTAATTCAGATTCATGAGCCAGAATGTCCCCCATATTGAACTGTTACTGGTAATTAGTTCTCACAGCAAAAATCTCTAGAAGGCAAAAATAGAAGAGCTTTCATTTCAACCACCTGTGAAACCACAAAAAGGTGGTTGTGGTGAGCAGAATAATGGCCCCAAAGACATGCATGCCCCAATCCCCAGAACCTGTGAATACGTGAGGTTACACGGCAAGGGGGAATTAAGGCGCAGATGGAATTAAGGTTGCTCATCAGCTGACCTTTAAATTGGGGGATGATCCTGGATTACCCAGGTGGGCCCAAGGCAGTCACAGCAGAGGGAGGGGGGCAGACGGAGGCAAGAGTGTCAGTGTCAGGATGATGAGGTGTGAGAAAGACAACAGCCACTGCAGGCTTTAAAGGGGTGAAAGTGGCATAAACCAAGGAGGGTAGGTAGCCTCTAGAAGCTGCATAAGGCAAGGAACAGATCCTCCCAGAGCATCCAGAAATGATCAGTCCCCGCAGACACCTTGGCTTTAGCTCAGTGAGAGCCATTTCAGACTTCTGACCTCCAGAACTAGAAGATAATAAATCTTTTTTGCTTCACACCACTCAGTTTATGGTCATTTGTTCAGTAGCACTAGGAAATACAATGGCTAAAGTCAAAAGAAACTCTTCCTACTCTTTCTACCAGCCCTCCCTCGAGGTGTACCCAAAGCGGTCATTCCCCACGGCCCACATCCCAGGCTCAGCCCAAACCAGTTGCCTGTAACCCCAGAGGAATTAAAAAGTCTGGACTCTAATGCTAACCACGCCATTCACTGGCACCCAATCTGGGGCAAATCACTGAAATGCAGAGCCTTTTTTCATCTATAAAATTCAGAATGTATCAGAACTCTTCCAATTTTTTTTTTTTTTTTTTTTTTTTTTTTTTTTGAGATAGGATCTCACTCTGTTGCCCAGGCTGGAGTGCAATGGTGCGATCATAGCTCACTGCAGCCAAAACTCCCAAGCAAAGTGATCCTCCTCCTCAGCCTCCCAGTGGCTAGGACTATAGGTGCATGCCACCATACCCAGGTAATTTTTTTTTTTTTTTTTTTTTTAGGAGAGACGGGGTCTTACTAAGTTGCCAAACTCCTGGGTAATGCAATCCTCCAGCCTTGGCCTCCCAAAGTGCTGGGATTATAGGCATGAGCCACCACACCCAGTCAGATCTCTTCTGAGTCTGTAACCTTACATTTTTCTGGCAGTGCCTCCCCATCTCCTCTCTCTCCACTCCAATCCAATTTCTACACTTTTAACAATGAGCATTCTCCTCCTGCTTGGGACCCTCCTGTGGTTCCACCACCCTCCAGATGAAGGCGAGACTCCTTGGGCCCAGCTCCCAAAGCCTTAGACAACGTGGCCTCTGACACACTCCCATTTGTTCTGTAAACCTGAGCCACAATGGCCACTGTGTGCTTCCTGTGGACACCTACTGAACACCCAAAGCCCACACCTGCCCTCGTGAACTCTGGCTCACTGCCCTTCCTTCAGATACTCACGTCTCATTCAGGTCTCTGCTTAACTGTCACCTCCTCAGTCTTGCCCCGACCACCCTTTCTAAGAGGTCGGCCCATCACTTCTCAGCCCTTTCTGCTGCTTGATTCTTCTCAACAGCACCTGACAGGTGTTCCCCTGGCATCCCCAGTGCCTAGACCAGTGCCTGGCACACAGTACGGACTCAAAAACACGGACAAAGTAGAAATTAATTCCAGACATGAAGAAAACAGTGCAAGGGAAGGGACAGAACCTGAAGGAGATGGGTACAGGGTTATTTTAGATGGAGTGGTTGACGGCCTCACTGGGAATGTGACATTTCAGCAAAGATTGAGCGCTTGGATCTGGGGAAGAGGGCTTTGCTAGGTCACAGGCCTCAGGCCGCAGACCTCTGCAGTCTTGGGGTATTGGGATGTAGCTAGAGGTGAGGCAGAGAGCAGCAGGCAATCGGGGGCCGGAGCCAGGTCAGGTGGGCCTTGCAGAGCTGGTAAGTGGCTTGGACATTAGGCTGAGAGTAACAGGAGGCTCAGAGAGAATATGGAGGAGGGGACTGACACCACCTGTTTTTTGGTTTGTTTGTTTGTTTGTTTTTCCTGAGACAGAGTTTCCCTCTGTTGCCCAGGCTACAGTGCAGTGACATGATCATAGCTCACTGCAGACTCAAACTCCTGGGTTCAAGCAATCTTCCCACGTCAGCCTCCTGGGTATCTGCGCCTACAGAGTGTGCTGCTATGCCCCAGTAATTTGTTTTCTGGTTTTTTTGTTTGTTTGGTTTTTGGTGAGGTTTTTTTGTTTTTGTTTTTGAGACAGAGTCTCACTGTTGTCGCCTGGGCTGGAGTGCAATGGCACAATCTCAGCTCACTGCAACCTCCGCCTCCCGGGTTCCAGCAATTCTCCTGCCTCAGCCTCCCGAGTAGCTGATATTACAGGCGCCCACCACCATGCCTGGTTAATTTTTGTATTTTTAGTAGAGATGGGGTTTCACCATGTTGGCCAGGCTAGTCTCGAACTCCTGACCTCATGTGATCTACCTGCCTCAGCCTCCCAAAGTGCTGGGATTACAGGCGTGAGCCACCGTGCCCAGCCTTGGTTTTTTCAGAGACAGGGTTTCACCATTGCCCAGGCTGGTCTTGAACTCCTGGGCTCAATCCTCCCTTCTCTGCCTCCCAAAGTGCTGGGATTACAGGGGTGAGCCACCACGCCCGGCTGCTGATGTCCATTTTTTAATATGCATGTTGCCTGTTCCGCAGAGAAGACTGAAGGGGAGTGGGAAGAGGGAGATGAGTACCGCTCAGCCCATGCCAGCCATGAGCGTCATTCGGATAAGCAAAAGAGGCCATGAGTGTTGTGAGTCCAGATGGAAAAGGCAGAAGAGGCACAGTCTGCAGACGGGCTGGTTGTGGGACATGAAGGGAAGAAGGGAAGGAAGAACCCTGGGATCTGAGCAGCTGGCTGAATAGTATGTCATTTCATGAGTCAACGAAAACATGGGGAAGGACTGTTTTGAGGTCAAACCAAGAGCTCTGTTTTGGCTGTAAGTCTGAGCTGCCGGTTAGACATTCCAGTGGAGGTTCCGAAATGGTCAGTGGGTATTATAAGAACTAAAGAAAGAGGAGAGAGGAGAGAAACACGAAGGGTCACTCAACAGTCAACAGGTTTATTTCAAACCTGGGAGGGACTTCCAACAGAGTTAGGTCAGAGCCACACTCTCTTACAGACTAAGAGTTTTTAAGGATTCAGGGTGGGAGAGTTTATCAGAGGCTTGGACTGCTTCTGTCTCTTTGTTGTGCTTATCTGGGAGGGAGAGTTGTATGTCTGTTCCCATACATCTTTCTGCAGCTGGAGGCATACCCCGCCAAGTCTGCTTTTAGCTTCCCTTAGTAGATCTGAAGGGAACACAATGTCCTTATTAGGGCCCACTGTTATACTGAGGCCCACTGTAAGAGGGTGAAGTTTGGCAGGTACCCAAGAAACAAACCTGTTGACTGTCGAGTCACCCTTCGTGTTTCTCTCCTCTTTCTTTAATTCTTACAGATACATGAGCCTGGAGTTTAAGGGAGAAGCAGGAACGGCATTCAGAGGGATAGCAGAGAATATTGGTGCTGAGCAAAAACACAGATTTAGTGATTAGAAACGAAACAGGCTGGGTGCAGTGGCTCACACCTGTAATCCTAGCACTTTGGGATACCAAGACAGGCAGATCACCTGCGCTCATGAGCTTGAGACCAGCCTGGGCAATGTGGCGAAACCTCATCTCTACAGAAATACAAACATTAGCCAGGCGCGGTGGTGCATGCCTGTAATCCCAGCTACTGGGGTGGCTGAGGCAGGAGGATCACTTGAACCAGGGAGGTCAAGGCTGTAGTGAGCTGGGATCGTGCCACGGCACTCCAGCCTAGGTGACAAAGAAAGACCCAGTCTCAAAAAAAAAAAAAAAAAAAAAAAAAAAAAAGGAAGCGAAACAAGAAATAAGGTGTGGTGGCTCACACCCGTAATCCCAGCACTTTGGGAGGCCAAGGCAGGCGGATCGCCTGAGGTTGGGAGTTTGAGACCAGCCTGGCCAGCATGGTGAAACCCCATCTCTACTAAAAATACAAAAATTAGCTGGGCGTGGTGGCAGGCACTTGTAATCCCAGCTACTCTGGAAGCTGAGGCAGGAGAATCACTTGAATCCGGGAAGCAGAGGTTGCAGTGAGCCAAGATCACGCCATTGCAGTGCAGCCTGGGCAACAGAGCGAGACTCCATCCCAAAAAAAAAGGAAAGAAAGAAACAAGGTCATCAGCTGCACGTAAGAAGCAAGGTGACAGTTTGGAAAGAAATGAGGGTGGGAACCAAAGTAACTACAGCAACATGGCAGGGTTGCTGGTAGTAGAGTCCATTTAAGATCTCTAGACTGGAATCTAAAATAGAATCAGTCTGCACAGTTTTGCAGCTCTTCTCCAGGCACTTGCAGCTGAGTTTGGTTAACCAATGCGAGAGGTTCTTCTAGAAGAGAGAGGAAAGGGGAAACAGTACAACCATGATGGGATACTGGAACTAATCAGGTTACGAATGGGGGAGGGGAACACACACAAGGCAGCTGCAGGGCAGAAGAAGCGGTGGGGTCCGAGGCCTGCGGAAGGAGCCACGTTCCAGTGAGCAGGAAAGATGGAAAGCAGTGGGCAGACAGTGGGACAGATGCCTGAAGGCAAGACTTTGAAGGTGACTAGTACTAAAAAGCTCTCAACCAAGGGAGTAGGTGGATGAGGAGGATGGAGGAAAGAGATGCCTGCAAGTAAGGATGAAGAACTGGAGGGGCCAGGATGTGGAAACCCCCAAAAGTGAAGTAAAAGAGATGAAGGGATAGGCAGCCAGCCGGGTGCTAGAGGCTCCGAGGGAACTAGAGAGACTTGCCCTGGGAAATGGCTGCCTCAGGGAGGGCTGGCAAAGGGTACAGTGACTGCCATGTGCTTCAAAGGAGCTGGGGTTTGTGAAGGAGCGGGTAGTGATCTGGAAGCAGCAATGAGGAGCAGGCAGGACACCTCCCCACGCACCACACCAGCCCTGCCAGATGCAAAAGGGGACAGAAGAAGGCAGTTGCTATTGGAGGACACCCACCTCTCCAGCCTTTCTCTGGACCTATGCCTCAAATCCATCCACCTTCCCCCTACCTTCTCCTGCTCCTTGCTCCCTTCCACCAATCCCACATTGGACCCTGCCAACAGCAAACTCCTGGCCATTTCCCCACACAACAAGCTCTTTCAGGATCCTAAGCCTGTGGGTGATGTATGTTCTGAACCCCAGGTAAACATGACTCATGATTCCAAGCAAAGTCAGACTTAACCCCCTTCAAGAAGTCTTCCATGACCAACCCCTCCCTTCTTTCCCTACCAAGAATTTTTTTATATTTTTATTTTATTTTATTTTATTTTTTTGAGACGGAGTTTAGCTCTGTTGCCCAGGCTGGAGTGCAGTGGCGGGATCTCGCCTCACTGCAACCTCCACCTCCCAGGTTCAAGTGATTCTCCCACCTCAGCCTCCCAAGCAGCTGGGGTTACAGGCATGCGCCATGACGCCCAGCTAATTTTGTTGTTGTTGTTGTTGTTGAGACGGAGTTTCACTTTTGTCGCCCAGGCTGGAGAACAAAGGCGCAGTCTCGGCTCACTGCAACCTCTGCCTTCCAGGTTCAAGTGAGTCTCCTGCCTCAGCCTCCTGAGTATATGGGATTACAGGCACCCGCCACCAACGCCCAGCTAATTTTTGTATTTTTAGTAGAGACAGGGTTTCACCACATTGGCCAGGCTGGTCTTGAACTCCTGACCTCAGGTGATCCACCCGCCTCAGCCTCCCAAAGTGCTGGGATTACAGGTGTGAGTCACCACACCTGGCCTAATTTTTGTATTATTTTAGTAGTGATGGGGTTTCACCATGTTGGCCAGGCTGGTCTTGAACTCCTGACCTCAGGTGATTCGCCCATCCAAAGTGTTGGGATTATGGGCATGAGCCACTGTGCCTGGAACTTCTTTTTTTTTTTTTTTTTTTTTTTGAGGCGGAGTTTCGCTCTGTCGCCCAGGCTGGAGTGCAGTGGCCGGATCTCAGCTCACTGCAAGCTCCGCCTCCCGGGTTCACGCCATTCTCCTGCCTCAGCCTCCCGAGTAGCTGGGACTACAGGCGCCCGCCACCTCGCCCGGCTAGATTTTTGTATTTTTTAGTAGAGACGGGGTTTCACCGGGTTAGCCAGGATGGTCTTGATCTCCTGACCTCGTGATCCGCCTGTCTCGGCCTCCCAAAGTGCTGGGATTACAGGCTTGAGCCACCGCGCCCGGCCGCCTGGAACTTCTTATAACCTGTTCACAAAGACGGGGAGCTGTATTTAAATTTCGTATCCCCAGAACCTAACAGAGTGCCTCGTAAGCAAGAAAGGTACTCAAGGCATATGATGAATAAATGAAGCCTGAGCTGAGGGGATGGCATTTTAAAGGCCCTGGAACAGGAAAAGTGAGTTTGTGAGAATTTGAGCTCCTTCCAACCTCAAGGCCTTTGCACGTGTTACTCTCTCCGCCTAGAACACTTTTCCCTCTCTTCACCTGGTTAACCACTGTGCCTAATAAACATCACCTCCTTAGAGGAGTCCTCCGTAAGCCATCTAAATAGCATCTGCTGTAATCAACTGTCATTGAACGTTGAGTGCTGCTGGGTATCCTACTACTCTGACATTCTTAGAAATTACAGAATTGGCTGGGCGTAGTGGCTCACACCTGTAATCCCAACACTTTGGGAGGCCGAGGCAGGCGGATCACCTGAGGTCAGGAGTTCAAGACCAGCCTGATCAGCATGGTAAAACCCCATCTCTACTAAAAACACAAAAATTAGCCGGGCGTGGTGGCGTGTGCACCTGTAATCCCAGCTACTAGGGAGGCAGAGGCAAGAGAATCGCTTGAACCCAGGAGGTGGAGGTTGCAGTGAGCCGAGATTGCGCCACTCCACTCCAACCTGAGCAACAGAGAAAGATTCCATCCCAAAAAAAAGAAAAAGAAATTACAGAATTTTCTCTAAACTTTCATATCATAATAGGTATCATTTATTGAGGGTATATTGTATGCCAGGCAATGTGCAAAATGCTTTACATTTAATCTTCATAGTAAACCTGAGAGGTGAATGTACTTTATATTTTCCCATTCCAGATGAGGCAATTTGAGGCTCAGGAAGTCTGACACACTCCCAACAGCCACAGTAAGTGACTAAGTGGCTGATATGAACCACTACACAGTATTTCCCCAAAGTCTGGACCACCTAAATAAGAATCAGTTGGCACCTTTGTGCAAATGAAAATTCCTGCCTCCACCCTGGTCTTACTGAACACCATGGCAGGCACCATGCCCAGAAATCTGCCTTTTAAACAAGCTCCCTGGGTGACTTTTATACACTCTCAAGTCAGCTTTTGAATTCCTACATAATAAAGATTTAGGGCCTGCAAACGGGTGGGATTACGGGATTTGTATGGAAGCCGAATCTGCATAGCACGCATCCTGTTTTTCCTTAGATTAGGTGAAATCTGGACTTCACCTGGGTGCCTGAGGAACGGGGCTAGCAGATGGAGATTATGAGGGAGATCTAAACCCCGGGTAACCCGCTCGCACCGCCACCACCAGCTGGACGGGTTGGGGGTCCCCCTCCAAGTTTGGCCCGCTGCAGCAAAGATCAGGGACTACTGCTGCAGCAAAGATCAGAGAGTACTTGCGGGAAGCAGCTGCGCCCGTCCTTGCTTGGGATGTCCAGGAGGCCGCCTCGGCCCTCACCGGAGAAAGATCCCTGGACCGCAGGCGAGAAGTGGTAGCATCCGGCGGCGGCGGAGCGGGCGCGTCGCGGTTTTTCTCGGAACAAGAGGTCCGCAGAGCCTCGGCCCTCCAACCCCACCGCTGCTCCTCCCAGCACCAGGACGGCGGGCTGAGGGTGACCCGGCTGCATCCGGGGACGCGCTTACCTGCTGCTCGGCCGCGGACACTCGCGCTCACCCAGCCCGGCCGCCACCTCGGCAGCCGTCACCCGGGCAACCGCTGCCGCCACCCCGGCATCACGTGGGGCAGCGCAGCCAATCGCGCGGAGCGCTGCCGGCGCAGAGCAGCCTGGGAGGGAAGGTGGGCAACCCCGAAACGTCCTGGCGGCGGAAGTGAGGGTCCACGGCGCCGCAGTGTCCGCCGTTCTCGCGCGGGGTGTGCGCGTTTCGTGCGGTCCCCTCCACCACTCCGCTTTTGTTCGTTCGTTCATTCATTCGTTCATTTCCCCTTCGTTACGCCAGTCACTGTGCCGGCTCTGGGGATGAGCCGGAGCAGGCTCAACCCCTTGCCTCAAGGAGCTCGTGGTCGCGTAGAGAACACAAACCAGGACCGTGTGGTGTCCGTGGGAAGAGTCAGACGTGGTTATTCCCATCTTACCGGAGGGACCTGGGGCCACCTTAGAACCAAAAGTGACGCCCAAGATATGCACTGAAGCTCCGGGCACCAGGGTCCCGCCCCTTGCAGCAGTTTCCAGGGATTTCAGAGAAACTTTTTGTTTTCCATGTGACATGTGGGCTTCTAAAAATAAATCAGGAGCACCCGTCTTCCCTCTCTTTGCACCTGATGCTTTTGAACTGAAGTTCATCAGTACTGAATGAGCACTTGCTAGTCGCCCAACTTAGTGCTGGAGGGTGAGGAGGAGGAGGTGGCCATGGATGGAAAAGCCCTCCCCTCCAGGCGTTGAGGTTCTGTGGGAATCTCCGGTTGCCACCTCAGTGTTTCCACCTCCATGCTTCCAAGAAGGAGGAGGCTACCAGGGCCAGAGACAGGGAATGGGGCACGGAGAAGGTAGGTCAGCTCGCCTTTGAAGAAGCCCTAAGACGGACTGTGGCCACCACCTCCCCAGTCCCCAGCCCTGCCAGTTGATTGTCTTCCAAAAGAAAAAAAAAAAAAAGCTGTATTTAGTAGAAGAGAGCCCTACCTTCTGTCCAGGTAATATGGATTGAAAATAAATCTTCAATCCATGGCCATAATATTTATCGTCAACACAACTGTATGCCAGGAGTTGCCAGACAAAATACAGGACACACAGTTAAATGTAAATTTCAGATGTTTTAGTGTACGTAGATCCCAAATACTGCTTCATTTTATTGTGCATGTAGGATGTTATATTGTTCTGTATTTTTGTTTGCAAAACATGCAGCCTGTATGTGTGCCCAGCATTGTGCTAAGTGAATCATATAGATTGTTTTATTTAATTCTCACACCAGGCCGGGCACTGTGGCTCATACCTGTAATCCCAGCACTTGGGAGGTCACGGCAGGTGGATCACCTGAGGTCAGGAGTTTGAGACCAGCCTGGCAAACACGGTGAAACCCCCCGTCTCTACTAAAAATACAAAAATTAGCTGGGCATGGTGGCAGTGACTATAGTCCCAGCCACTCGGGAAGCTGAGGCAGGAGAATCAGTTGAACCTGGAAGGTGGAGGTTGCAGTGAGCTGAGATCAAGCCACTGCACTCCAGCCTGGGCAACAGAGTGAGACTCTGTCTCAAAAAAAAAAAAAAAAAAAGTTTTTAATTCTCACACCACATCTATGAGATGAATAATATTTTCAGCATTTTACTGATTGACAATGTTGTTATTAACATGAGCCCTGTGCTCTTAGAAAATAGCCATATTAAGAAATCTCACCCACCCACCCCCAAACCTTTTGTTTTCTAAAATCCTCCACACTTTTGTGTTCTGGGAAGTAGCTTACCAGAAAGAACTACCCTTCCACATATGACTTCATCCGACTCACTGTCCTCTCTTTCTCATGCCTCCCGTATGATGCACGGATGACCCCCTTGTTTACCTGTGACAAGGACAAATGCAGACCTTTTCCTTTCTGCCCGAGCCTGCTGGCAAGGCCAAGTACAGACCTTTCAGCTTCTCATTCTTTGTCTCATGGTTGATTAGCTGAGATTACAGCTGTCTGTTTTGTCTTTGGCAAGATAAACAACATGAGGCATAGGGGATTAAGAAACTCCTCAAGTTTACACCGCTGAGGAGACCAGGACTAAACCCAGGTCTCTGTGTCTCTGGACCCTGGGCTCTGAGCCGCTGTGAACACCCCTCCTGCTTTGCTTTCCCTCCTGAGTGCATTTGCCTGACTGCTAGGATTATGGTCATTGTGGTGGCTATTGTCTTTGTCTGTCTACCTCCCCTCTCCCTTCTGGTAACATACTCCACTCATCCCATCCCTGACCACAGGATGGGCAGATGGTCCAGACTGGACCAATCTTACCCCATCCCTCTGGCCTCAGTGATGGGTCCAGGATGGGCATATGAGCCAAGAAAAGCCAATGACAGCCCTTCCCTGGGATTTTGCTGTTGAAGTGTGGTCAGGTTATTGTAAAATGAGACTCCAGGGCAGCCTACAGCCTTCACTACATGGGAAAGACTAAGAAGGTGAAGCCATTACCTAGAGAAATGCAAAGAAAGTGCTGGGGGCATCAAATCCCTGGTCCCAGGATCTGAGTTCTCTGGAGCTGCACTTGTTCTTATAGCTCCTCCAGCATCCTTCCAATCAACTGTCTTTTTTATTTTTTCTTTTTTTAAGACAGGGTCTTACTCTGTCACCCAGGCTGGAGTGCAGTGGTGCAATCTCAGCTTGCTGCAACCTCTGCCTCCTGGGCTGAAACAATCCTCCCACCTCAGCCTTCCTCATAGCTGGGATTACAGGCATGTGCCACCATGCCCAGCTAATTTTTGTACTTTTTGTAGAGACAGAGTTTTACCATGTTGCCCAGGCTGATCTCAAACTCCTGAGCTCAAGCCATCTGCCTGCCTCAGCCTCTCAAAGTGCTGGGATTACACATATTACTGCATCCAACTTCAACTGTCTTTTTAATTTCGACTGGTTTGGACCTGCATGGTGGCTCATGTCTATAATCCTAGCACTTTGGGAGGTCAAGGTGGGAGAACTGCTTGAGGTCGGGAGTTTCAGACCAGCCTAGACAACACAGCAACATCCCTCTGTACAAAAAAAAAAAAAAAATCCATCTGTATAAAAAAAAAATTTTAATTAATAAACTTGTTCAAGTTGGGTTTCTGTCACTTGCAACCAAAAGAGGCCAGACGAATATAAACTAATATAAACATAATTTCTATGTCTGAGATAGGAAAAACCAAACTGACTGTTTTTACTCTTCTCACACTCAACACTTTTTTTTTTTTTTTTTTTTTTTTGAGACAGAGTCTAGTTCTGTTGCCCGGGCTAGACTGAAGTGGCACAGTCATAGCTTGCTGCAGCCTTGACCTTCCGGGCTCAAGTGATCCTCCTGCCTCAGCCTCCCAACTAGCTGCTGGGACTACAAGCACGCACTACTATGCTCGGCTTTTTTTTTTTTTTTTTTTTTTTTTTAGAGATGGGGTCCCACTTTGTTGCCCAGGCTTGTCTCGAACACCTAGGCTCAAGCGATCCTCCTGCTTTGGCCTCCCAAAGTGCTGGGATTACAGGTGTGACACAACGCTTCTGACAGCAGATGTATGGAGGTTTTTCCCTACACACTAAGCAACTATCCAGCAGACACTGATTGTCCTACAATTCAATTCTGATACTAGCTAATGACTGGAGTTAGAATCAGATCCCACAGGTCAAAGGCTCAGTCCCATAAGACTGTCCCCCACCTCAGATGCCAGTCAAAAGTAGCAGTTGTCATCTATACTTCTAGCCAAATGGCTATAAATGAGGGTTCCATTAATTTACTAGGATGGCTTATAGAAGGAAACACATGTACTGGCTCATTATAAAGAATGTGACAAAGGATACAGATAAACAGCCAGATGAGGCAGTACCCAGGGCAAAGGATGGGGGCGCAGAGCTTCCATGCCCTCTCCAGTTACCTCCATGGTTCAGCAGTCTAGAAGCTCTTCAAACACTGTAGTTCAGGGATTTTTACAGAGGTTTCATAACACAGGCACAATCGATTGTTGTTGTTGTTGTTATTATTATTATTATTATTATTGAAACGGAGTTTCGCTCTTGTTGCCCAGGCTGGAGCGCAATGGTGTGATCTCGGCTCACGGCAACCTCCGCCTCCAGGATTCCAACGGTTCTCCTGCCTCAGCCTCCCAAGTAGCTGAATTACAGGCATACACCACCATGCCCAGCTGATTTCGTATTTTTAGTAGAGACAGGGTTTCTCCATGTTGGTCAGGCTGGTCTCGAACTTCCGATCTCAGGTGATCCACCTGCCTCGGCCTCCCAAAGTGCTGGGATTACAGTCGTGAGGCATTGCGCATGGCCGGCACAATCGATTATTAACTCAATCTCTGGCCTTTCTTCCTATCCCAGAAGATGGGGATGGGGCTGAAAGTTCCAAGCTTCTAACCATGGCTTGGTTTTTCTGGTGACCAGCCCACCAAGAGTCATCTCATTAGAATACTAGATGTTCCCATCACCCATGAAATTCCAAGGATTAGGATCCCTCATCAGGAGCAAGGGACAAAGACCAAATGGAACAAAAAGATCCACCTAGTGCCCCTATCACTCAGGAAATGACAAGAATTTTAGGAGCTCTGTGCTGGGAACCAGGGGCAGAGACCAATTATATATTTTTCTTTTCTTTTTTTTTTTTTAGATGGAGTTTTGCTCTTGTCATCCAGGCTGGAGTGCAGTGGTGCAATCTCAGCTCACTGCAACCTCTGCCTCTTGGGTTCAAATGATTCTCCTGCCTTAGCCTCCCAAGTAGCTGGGATTACAGGCCCTCGCCACCACGCCCACCTAGTTTTTGTATTTTTAGTAGAGACAGGGTTTCACTATGTTGGCCAGGCTGGTCTTGAACTCCTGACCTCAGGTGATCCACCCGCCTCAGCCTCTCAAAGTGCTAGGATTACAGGCAGGAGCCACTGTGCCTGGCCTAATTATATATTTTTCTTATTTCACAATGTCATATCAACTAAAAGTGGCCTCAGCAATGGGAGTGGTGGTTCATTTTCTTATAGTAAATACAGAAGTGGCTAGCTTCTTACCAGTAGCTCAAGTTGTCAGGGATCTGGGTTGGTTTCTGAATTGTATCATCCCTGTGACTAGGAGTGATATGGAACAAATAGGTATGGTTTGATACAATTTAAAAATTATTAAACTGC